TTTTGTATATACTTCATCTTTATATTTATCGACAGATTTAAAACATCTAAAACTGCACATTATTATATCTAATATTCGAAAACAAATTTGTGAATCATCGCGAAAAGAACAATAGTTGGGAAAAAATGCGTGATGCCTTATCGGCTTTTATAGCGTAGATAGGGGAAATTTGCGCGACTGTCGTCCCTCGGGAACGAAATGCGAGATGATACCTTGGATAAAGTTAGCTTAGCCTGTTGCGGATAGTGTCGCAAGTTTACGTCGCGCCTAGAAATCGAGAGACAGTGTATTTTCCTGAAATCGATGCTGCGATCAGATAATTCGTGTCGCCGCAACCGAATCGCCTGTCTGCCCCACTTTAACTATATAGAAAGATACCACGACGAAACATGATACGAAACCGGTAAAATATGTATTTAGATAAAAGGACGAATTCTCAAAAACAATTATCTTCGGACGCTGCTGCCAACAAGTTAGCGCGCGTCGCGAATAATATATAGAAGTTTTAAATAATATAAAATTGCCTATAAAATAAAAGCAAATTCTAAATTATTTTATCTAGCAAAAAATATTAATTATACATGTTAAATAAAGAGAGAATTGTCCTGTGGACAAATACATAGGTTTCAAATAATGAAACTAAGCATAATAAAGACAAATTTTAATTATTTTATCTCGCTTCAGCAATATTAATTAAACATAGTAATTAAAAACATCATGAGAAGAGAGAGCAAAATCTACATATGATTTAATCAAACTACAGTGTAAAGTATGCATTATTTGCAATATAATAGTATATCTTTATATTTCAGAAAAAAATCAATTATATAATTATATATTGCAGTGAATTATTACATGTAGATAATAATTTCTAAAATCAAAAATTATTTTAGAATTATCATTATATGTTTTTGTTAAAGATTTTTTGTTAAATTGTACAAACATAGAAATATATTATTTCACATTATAAAAATACTACAATAACAATATTTTATATTAATAATACTAATCATTTCTTTATGATATAATGATTAATAACATATAATTATTAATAATATAGAGTTTACTATAATATAATTAATATAATATAATAACATTTAATTTATAATAGAGTTAATGTACTACTAATAGATATAGTTTATTACTCGATAATAATTTAAAATGAAATTTTTACTTCACTGCAGAATACGACTATATAATTAATTATACACAAAGAGAATTTTCCCTTAAAATTTATCATAAAAAATCATGATAATCGTGACAATATGGTATTAGAAGAATTTTATACATTTCTCTAATTAAATATTTACTACAATAAAAATATTAATATCTATCACAATAAGGTATAAAATATCGATTAATTTTATTATGTACATAATAAAATTTACTATGTACATTTTAATTTTTTTGTGATAAATACTTAATCGGAGAAACTCTTATATAAAATTCTTCCAATACCATATTGTCCCACGATTATCATGATTTTCAGGCTAAACTTTAAAAAGAATCTCTCTGGTGTACAAGTATAATTCATAATTAGACTCATATCATTACATTTACATTTACTCACATGTCACATATCAGTAATGCTGTGACACCAATAGTTCTTAAAATAAAAAATTCAATATATATTAAATATGCTTATTTATATACTTTTACTTGTATTATTTTTTAATTTTTTTGTATTATATTTATAATATTTTATAAAACAGAAAAATTAATTCACTAATTAAAAATTTAAAATCTCTTGCTTTTAATTAATTTTATGTAAATATATATATTCTCTTTTTCTCTAATGTAATCATATATTTTTATAAAAAGACAAATTCTGCAATTATTTTATGGTGTTCGGATCAGCCATTCACTAATATATCAGTAATAGTCTCAAATAAGCAAATAATGAACTAAAAAATTTTGGCAACCAATTACTCACCGAAGATGCATCTCTTCGTCGTCCGACTGCCGCTGACTTTATCCCAGTTGTCTCCTTCAAGTAATCCAATATCCGGCTTTACATCGATGCGATTCGAAAGAAAAAATTGCGGCTGATTAAAATCGCGCACTCGATAAAGACTTCGCGACTCACTTATTATACGACACTCTCGACGCAGCACGCGTTTCTCGCGAATAAATAACGCGAAACGCGATAATTATGCGTTAACCGCAACATATTCGCTTCGCAGCATCCTCGTTTGCAGCCAGGTACTAGAAAATTCAAAAAACAAGATGGCGGGTAACAAATATTATGCTAACAATCGCAATGTCGCGACGCGATAATTTTTCATGTTTCATGATGAAAGTCGTAACTTAATAATCGAATCGGCGAATGCCGATTGGCGCAATTTTCCCGCACAAATTAGTATCCCTACGCATGATTTATTTTATGATTCAAGTGCATACATTTGTCGAGGGGAAAACTAATTACGATCGCACCTTCGCTAATTAACAGTCCCCGATATATTCGCGGCTTCCCTTGTAATGCACATCCGACGTACGTTATAAACTGCTACTAATTAATTACTCATTTATTATAACTTTACGACACTCGCGAGTTACTTTGTACATCTCCGTTACATATGAGACGAGATGACAATCGCGTGAGTCGATTAATTCTTCACACATTCATAATCGAATGACAGTTGACGGCATGAATATAGCAGCGTTTTATGCATGACATTATCGATACTCGTCGAGATTGTTCTCATAGATATTTATTGATATTGGAATGAAAATTACCTGTCAATCATTGATCGTATATAATGCACTCGTTTATTAACGTCCCACAATACTTGCAACTATCTTCTACGATGCTCCAGTTCGTACTGTCCATTCCCCCACTTACTCCGCGAAAACAAAAATACTAGACGCGATAAATCGCGCGTCAATTATGACTAGGCCGTGACCATAAAAAATCCAAAAGACAAGATGGCAGTGTCAACAATCGCGGTGTGTACGTACTTCTGTCACGATGTACTTATACATTATTGATAGTGATCTAAAATTTGACGCGTGCCAATTTATATCGTTTAAGCGTGAACTAACGTGATGATTATTTTCAAAATTTGCATATATATAGTATTATTAATTCCTATGCATATGACAGTATCGAGCAGTATAGCTTATTGTACACGTGTGCTCAATTAATACGTAGCAACGATCGTCCTAGTTCATAACGACACTCCGATACTAATTAGACGATTACTCGTGGGATATTCGAGTATATATATATATATATATATATATATATATGTATACATATATATATATATTCGTATTAATACGTTCATCCATTCAAATGCATCGAACAAACACACTCGACGAATTAATAATATGAATATTATTTCGAATTAATCGTAAAATATATTCTTATTAATCTTATTAATTTATAAAATGGTAATAATTCAATCGGACCAATTCTGGCAAATAAGTAAATTTATTGAATTTTCACAACGTTTCAGCCGTGGGTTTTGGCCCTTATCAAGTGCTATGTTCTTAAATCAAAGTAAATCACAACTTTTTTAAAAAACAAAAATTCGATCTTAGAATATGACATCATATAATAACATGATAGTATAAAACGAAATTCAATAAATTTATTTATTTGCCAGAATTGGTCGATTGAATTATTACCATTTTTTAATTATCATCTGGTGACTTCATAGTTTTATATCACTTATTAATTTATATATGTATATATATATATATATATATATATATATATTTATAATATTGTTGAAAATGTGTATATAATAAGTAAATTACATGCTTTCTCAAACAGCATGCATATTCAAAAGACGTTCAAAGGATATCCAGAAGACATTCAGAGGATATTTGATATGTTGTGTCCTTGTTAGGGTTTGTTATTATATATAACAATGTTATTATATATAACAATAGAGAATAAACAAATAAAGCTATGTAAGTTTATATCTACATAAGAGATAAAAGAATAAGAAACACAGAATAAATCATAATTCCAATAATGCAGAATTAAAAATTAATAGAAACAGAATAAAGTTTAGAAAAAGAACTATCATGATATTAAAGAAATTAAAAGTTTATTTTAGTGAGTTTTTCATCATTATGATTTCCATAATTGTAAAGGAGGGAGAAAGAGATGAGAGAAAGAAAAGAGAAAGTGTACAGTATACATTATTTTCCTTCCATCGATAAGACAGATTTCGAAGAATGGTTACTATTTTATCGACAATAGATAAACCGTACCAGTTTTACCGAATTATATGAAATCGTAAAAGTTTATTATCTTTTCCTCCAATTTAATAATAAAATAAGTGCAATATTATACATTCATTAACATTATTATCAAACTATTGCCAATTTCTACTCTAAAAGTAAGTTAAACTCAAACATTTATGAAACATATTAAATTTCTATACAAATTAATTGCGAAATATAATTTGACAGAGAGCGATGCAAAAAGTAATAAATAAAAAAAAATAAATTCCTCTTTTAAAAAGCATTTTCAAATTAAGTGATAAAAATAAAGCAGAATTTGTGTACATCTAAAAATCATTTTTAAAAATATAAAAAAAGAGATATATAAAAAAGTCGAGAGATATCCATTCTTTATTCGATTTTTGACATATCTAAAAAGAGAAGTTTAGAGTGAGGAATGCATCATATGGAATTCCCTCTAATTACTCGTTCGTATCGCTCGCGATAATTGACGATAATCACGTCGACATTCGCACCATCTGTGAAAGCCGAGACGGTCAACACCCTTTCCGACATTTCCGTATCGTCGTCGTCGTCGTCGTCGTCGTCGTCGTCGGAACGGAAGGGTGAAGAGAGGAAGAGACTGACATTGGCAGCACTGACGATGCTCCTTTCCAGATGGTATCTCCAGTGAGCGATTCGTGACGGTGTGCTCTAGTGTGCGGAGCGTTTCAACGACCCCGGTGAAAATTCATGAAACGAGCATTTTTTGAGTCACGTAAGTGCGACCCGGGAACGCAACGTTCCGCAGCATCGTCGTCGCGTCTCGTCCTGTCCTGTCTTTCGTTCCTTTCTCTCCCTCGGCGGCCCAGTATCTCTCCCGATGCGCGCACTGTTTACTCCGAAATACAACGCCGCGCATAGCACGCAGCCGACGATGACTCGTCGTGGATACGCTTGATCGGGTGATTCCTCATCGAGGATGATATTCGAGAGAGAAGCCGCGATCGATCTCCTCGCGTCTCGCCTTACGCGATCGTTTTTATTCACGTTGTTTTTTTCTCTTTCCTTTATTCGAAAAACAAAAAAAAATATGCTCGGGGCATCGCGAAATTATTACGAGTCTTGTGTCTTGTGAGTAACAAACATCGCGCGTGTGCTTCTATTAAGTATATGTAATAAATTGGATGACTAATGCCAATGATTATACAATGTTCGCTTTCAGAAGACAGCACTGAGTTAACACTTATATTTTGCTGTCAATATTATATTGCTTGAAAATTATTTCTGCTGAATGCTCTTTCTTTGTTGAATGTTACGTTTATTTATGTATTTTATGTGATACACTTATTAATTATGAATAGCTTTAATATACACGTGACAAAATTCACCTAACTAACATTAAAATTAAAAAGATAAAAGTCCATCCGAAGATCATGCAATAGTTCTTTCTTTTGTGAACATGAATAATAATAATAACACTTGTCGATTAAAGTTTTCAAATTACACAATATATTTAATAAGTTGTTTTTAAAATATAAATAGAGTTAATATTGAATTTGATAATCAATTTTGATCAATTGATAAAATTAATACTCTGTAGATTAGGCTTTAATCAAACATATATATTAAGAGATGAAAATATAATTTTTTTTTTTATCACTTTATTTATCTCTTAGGTTTTTTAATCTTTCTGATAAGATTTCTACAACTATATATATTAATTAAGAAATTTTCTTTTAATTATATAGAAGTATTATCCAAGAAATTTAAGCTGATATAAATTTATATTATTTTTTACAGATAATCCAAGAAACTGCTTAGAGGAATATAATAATAACTGTAAATTGTATATTAAGAAACTGCATAATGACGGAATACAAACTTGTGGTAGTTGGAGCTGGAGGTGTTGGAAAATCAGCACTTACCATTCAATTGATACAGAATCACTTTGTTGATGAATATGATCCTACCATAGAAGATTCATATAGAAAACAAGTAAGCATATTAAATTAATTTTATTTAAATTAATTCTATTTCATAATAATTTGCAATTTATATATTATCATGCATATATTATCTTGTATTGAAATATTCAAACTATTAATCCATAATCACAGACACAATATATCATAATGAAACATTAATCATAGTATGGCGATGCCCAAGTCTTTTGGACTCAAGCAGCACTATCTCTAAATGTGTCATAGTTGTTTATCATCCAAGAGTTAAAAAACTTTAATATTCCAAGTATAATTTTTTATATTAATTCATTAAATATATTTATATATTGTTGTTGAACAGGTAGTGATCGATGGTGAAACGTGCCTTCTAGATATATTAGACACTGCTGGACAAGAGGAATATAGTGCAATGAGAGATCAATATATGAGAACAGGAGAAGGATTCTTGTTAGTCTTTGCTGTAAATTCTGCTAAAAGTTTTGAGGTAAATTTATTACATAGATAAATCATATAAAGATAATCACATCCATTTGATTTTTAAGATAATTGCATTATGTTTAATAGGACATTGGAACATATAGGGAACAAATAAAACGAGTAAAAGATGCAGAGGAAGTGCCAATGGTATTAGTTGGAAATAAATGCGATCTTCAGCAATCTTGGGCAGTAAACATGACTCAAGCGAGAGAAGTTGCGCGACAATATGGTGTGCCATTTGTAGAAACTTCGGCGAAAACAAGAATGGGTGTAGATGATGCATTTTATACTTTGGTGAGTAAATGCAGAGATCTTTGTTGGTAGTTACAAAGTAATTTTAATATGACCAAACACATTTATAATATTACACATTGAAACTTTTTATTTATATAAGCAGTATTACATTTTTATAATTATGTTTCAATAAGAGCGACGAAAATTGATCAGACATATATTTCAGGTTAGAGAAATACGAAAAGATAAAGAACGTACAGGAAAACCACCTCGTAGTAGTGGACACAGAAGACATCGATGCTGTATTTTATAAATCCTTGGATAACACCAATATATTTTCACTCAAAACTCTATTACAACGCAGAAATAGAATATGAGAAAAGCCTTATATTATGTTCACAGTGCACAAATATTTGCAGCTTACACTATAGAATAAATTACAATAAATTATAATAAATTGCAAGCACAATTTTTTCTATATATTGAGAGAGAAGAACAAATTATGTAATAATTTTTATTAATGAGTTTATGTTTCATATATAAGAAACATTTTTCTGACAGTTTGCCAGGCAGTTCCATTATATTGAAGTGTCTTAACCCTTGATTGAATGAAAGAATAATACTGATTTTCTTTGTTACATATATATGACGTTTGCACAAAAAACATGTTAAATGATATATATACATATAAAATTATAGAATTGCAAAACGATAGCTTAATTCGCAAATATTAGATTTGATGCTGATATTCATATTTGTCAATGTTACTGTCATTTTTATATAGAGACAAATATAAAAAGTTTATTACAGGACACAAATAGGCCATTTATAACATAACATGTGGCATAAAATGTGACATGTAAATATTTTTATCTTATAGATATTTAGTCAATATTTGTAACTATTCACTTGTAGCACACTAATGAATTTTAATTAAACAGCAATATTATAATTAGTAAAGTAAAATTTAATTGCTGTATTGTTTTATAATTTATGAATTAAGTTTTTTAATCAAATTGCCATTTTTATTGTGTATATTTGCTAAGCAAATAAAAACTAATCATTTTAAAGCAAACAAGAAGCTCTGAGTTACAGAAAAGATATTACAAACTTAATTCATTATGTGCTGTGATTAGATATTCTTAAGTACATCGGGTTAGTTAAGCAGTTACTGTGTGATTAAGTCTGTAATATATATATATATATATATATAAAAATTGCAGACATATATATATAATTATTTAGTAATTATAGGAGAGTACACATATGCGCGCAAATATGTAGATGTATCCTCTAAGGAGCTTGCTTTCTTTTGGAAATAGATTTGGATCAAATTACGCGAATATATTGTACAACAATATCCAAATAAACTCGCAACATCGATTAGTAAATTTGGATAGAATATCGCTTTCTTGTATTAAGTTTTTGTGCTATCTACATATTATTAACCAAAGGCTTAAATATTCAACTAATGTAAATTTATTTTCTAGAGATAACGAATTTTTTGCAAGAAAGCTATATTTGCTATAATTACTAATAACATATGCATATATAAATGTATCTTTCTCTAGTTTATATAAGAATCTAAATATACTTAAAACTATATTTTAAACTGAAAAAAAAGAGATAAATAACTACTATTGAACAAAATTAATCCTTTGTGATCTCAAGTCGAGATATTTTCGGCGAAGCTCTTTGTCCCAAATAACTCGAGACCACAAAGGATTAAAATAGATTGAAAAATAAACTCTTATGTTTCTGTTTTAATAATTTGCTAACTCACATCATATCGTAAATAGATAATAAAATAATTAAAATATTAACGTTTTATTGCGATATACTCATAGTTTAAGAAGTAAAATTATTATAAACGACGAACACTAGTAATACAGTACTCAAGTTAATTGAGTTTTTTTTCTGACAATAAAATAATTTCGACATACAATGAATTGATTCTTTACAATCAATATACAACGCAAATATTGGTGGCTAGGTTTTATATGTTCAAGGAACAATCAAGGGTTAAATCCTTCGTTAAACAATGCAAACATTATAAACTTCCGTATTCTCATGTATATGTAATTTTTTTAATATTATTAATGTATACACAAATGCGCATTCTCATATATATACATATATGTAATATTTTTTAATATTAATATTTCCTTATTGGCTAATAAGGAAATTTGTATCTGTGTGTATATATAAATACAGAAATACACAATATAGAAATATTACATACAATTCAATTTCATAAAACTTTGTATAAAACCCGTTTGTTACATAGCATTCACTGGTCGAATGCTTGCCTATAAGATCGTTATGGCTCGTGTACATGCACTATTTACTTTTGTAACATTAATTATATAAAATCATCTTTATAATTTCATCTAACAATATTTTGTCATTGATACGTGAATCTTTATAGAAATAAATTATTCATATATATTACACAATGATATTCATGTTTCATATTATAATCGAAATTCATAAATGAAAAAATTTTATGTAAAGTTCGATTATATTAAATATTTGTTAAAGTTCTTTAAAAATGTATTAAGGTACACATATATATAGATATATAAACTTATATTTAATATATTTCATCTCCCATGATATACGATATGTGAAAATGTTCACAATAAAGTTATATCTGTTCTTGAAATATACAATAATATCGAAATAATATCAGGTTTATTTTATTCACCTTGATATATATTTTATATTTAATATTATAAATATTTTATAGATATTGTATGCAACACAGTATCTGACTTTAATACTCTTGGGATAGTGGGCTTAGAATTATTAAAAATAATATTTGAAATATTTCGATTAAAGTTGCATTTATTTTCGAGCACCTAAGTAAATATAAAATTGTTATACGCCTATATGATTCTGTATGTATCTATATCACTGTCATGTTACTGTGTGTCACTATATATATATACTATATATATACTATATATAAACTAATTACTTCTAATTACATATGAAATAGTAAATGTAGGCTTGAATGTGTATACAGTAATATATATGGCACGTCAGTCTGTACGTTTAATTATAATTAATTATAATTTTAAATACTACTATATGTTATCCGTCAAATCTTATAAATCGTTTTATTGTGTTTGGCATTATTCATGGCTGATGGCTTTAGCACTACCGTATCATCTCCATATATTTCTGCTTATGTTTGCTCAACATTTCAGTCACTGTTACTAGTTGTTTAATCGTTGGCTATAAGTAATAAATATATTTTTTATATGCACATGCTCCCTGCATGAATATTTAAACAATTATGTAAAATAAAAACATACCTGTGTTTTTGACAAAACTTGGAGTTCTTTCAAATGCGAGACACAAATATGATGTAATGTTGCCAAGTCTCTTGCAGTGTCGGATACGCTTTTGGTTCTTGGATCTGTACCCTCCGATTCTGGCTTTTCAGCAACATTCTGCGAATTTAAGTATACAAATCTTATATAATTAAATATATAAATCTTATAAGTATTCAAATATTTATTTTTTACTACATTAATATTTAAATTTCTATAAATGATGCAATATCAAAATTGTAGATAAAAAAAAGAATATAGAAATATAATATTATAAAAGAAATATATAAACTTACAGATAGCTGATCGAGAAACACCACCATTCGTTCTTTATTTTTGAGTATAAATGGATTTACAACTTCCATGTATGGTTCTTTTCCACCAAATTCTACTAAATTAGCCAGATTTTGTAAACACTTTGCCACCATGACTAATGATCTACGAATAATCCAAATTAATAAACAAACAACTCCTACAAATAGGGAAAACGCATTAATTGAACATCGCGATGATCGATACATAAATTCCTTTTTCAAATGATTTATTGATTGTTCAAATTAATATGTTTCGATCTCATATTTAAATTATCAATAATCATAAAAAATTAATACGACAGTATAATCAATATAAAATTCAATATATAAATTATAAATATATAAAAAAATCATGTATATATATACATATATATATACATATATACATACATACATACATATATATATATATATATATATATATATATATATATGTACAAAATAATTACAGAACATTTTCACTTATAAAATTACATATATATCAAAAAATTTAGATGTATATAAATTTTATTTATTTATAGTCTGTATTGTTATATTTATTTTTCACAGTTGCTTTTATAAATTATATAAATGCCATTGAAACATACAAAAATTTGAACTATCAATAAATTATATTTGAAGAAAAAGAATTTATGCATTAATTACTCCGTTCTTAATTAGCCCGTTTCTCTTATTTATTCATTATCAGATATTTATTTTATTCACCATCAAAACCTTTATTTTTTTTAAGTACGACAAATTAGAAATATTCAAAATTATATATTGATCTCATATTTATATAATTTCAATTTATGTATCTTTTTATGATTATACAATGTACCTTGCAGCAGATGGAGGAGGTGGCTCAGCTATTAGATTAAAAGACCTAGGATTTAATATGGCAGGGCAGAGAAGGCGTAGAAATATAAATCCACTGACTACCCGAGTTCTGACTAGTCTTTCATGTGGCCATTTAGCAACTACTGCTCTTTGTAAGCATCCACAAATGAATCTGAGAGTTCTCGGACAAGCGTCAGGACTTGTGAAAATACTCAATGTAACTTCGTCCAATACCTATATAAAACAACAAAAGTATTATATATTAATATAATTATCGCTAATCATATTATTAAAGTATAAGATTGTGAAAAAAAATATATACTTGTAATAAAAATTCTGCATTACTGCACGCATCTTCCGGAGAATCCATTTTTGTTGGATTCAATTCGCAGCTCTGTTTACTTTCAATGAGTTTCACGATCGTATCACGCAAAGCAGCTTTTAAAAACGAAGTACAAACGGATTTCATATATAAATCCATCAAAGTAGTAGTAAGACTGGCAGCTCTAAACAATGTTGGTGTTTCATCTTCTTTTTCGACCTGTAAAATATATTTTATAATTATACGTTTATATTTTATGTTTGAATAATTAAATCATAATTTACTTCTGCTTGATTCAATGATCGTAGGAGATCCGCTTCTTTTCTTTCATGCCTGAAAGATTAATGATATTAAAATTGATTATAATTAAATGATCATGTAACAATTATTCATACCTAAAAATTCTAAGAAGACTATTTGCCAGAGGTACTCTATCTAAGTGGCATACGTCTGCCAAAGCCTTGACTACATGCAGTTCCGGATCTAACAGCAACTGTTGAAGAGGACTATATTCTTCAGGAGGCATAGCTAAATCGTGTCTGTATCTGTAAAAAATATATGAACATATACATACATATATAATTTTATTATTAGTTTTAATATGCTATATTAATATAAAAACCATAAAGAATGTAAATGTGTTTTTGAAATATATTAATATCTTAAAAAAGTTTTTACAATTTTTACCGTATGCGTAAACGTAATGCTCCCCATTCCCCGATGGGTGTAACTCCCGATAGCGGATACCATTCGTCCATTTCCTCGCCATTAGTTAAACTTGCCAATTCAACCGTTAATTCCGCCACCTCTGTATCTTTGCTGCGTTTGCCCTTATTATACAGAGTTAGCGAGAAAGACATAACATCCGGTGGTACATCTCTGTTCAGAATATTAATAAAAGCAGTTGAATAAGATTTGTATATAAAGATGTTATTTTTTATTGTATTAAAGTACGTATACGTACTCTAGAATGAATTCTTCATCCCAGAGCGGATGTAATCCCGTTTTAACTTTCGTGCGAGCAACTTTAACATTGTTTAGAGCCACTATAATGAATGGACTTGGAACTAGCTTGTATGGAAGCCTATGCGCGTCTAAGATATGCAGGTGTAACGAACGTAATTCACGGAGACGAGCGACTTTTGGAGCACGAGTGAGTTGTGATACACATAATGGTTTCAAGGCATTAATCCAGTCTAATGCGTTCTCGGAAGTCGGGGCAGCCAAGTAAGTTATGGTGGCCAGACAAGGTAAAGCACGTTCAACTAATTGGAAACAATGAGGCCTATCAAATACACTTTCGTGGACCTAAAAAAAACACTTAAATAACTCATCCTGCGTTTACTCTAAGATGTTATTTCTTTTATTATTTTGTTCATAAAATATTGCACATATATGTCATGCGTGTTATAACAATTGTATTACAACAATTATTTTTGTTATTAACTTTAATAGGATATAAGGTCTCAATATGCTAATATATACTATTTTAATGTACCCTTCTTACCTGGTATAAGTAAGCGCAACTCAAATCAATGAGACCTTTTGGCTTGGTTCTTTTAGGATTGTCGTACAAATAAAGATGCGTGTCGGTAGCATCTACCAATAACACAAAATATAATGCTTTCCATTTTTTATTTTTCTCGGATTTCTTTTCCAGATATCCCTGCATTTTAATCCCTTTGTTTTTCTTCGCTCCCGATTGTTCCCGACATTCTCTCAGAGTCGCATATATTTTCTCGGCATGTTGAATTTCTCTATTTACTCTGACACTACCATCAGGTTCGGTTACCATCGCTTGAACTAAAGTGTGTCCCTCCACAATTTGTTCCTTTCGATATCTATGATAAAATATTAGTATACAGTTATGTCTCAACTACCTATTATTTCTATGCAAAATCAAAACAATAAAAGATACCTGTTAATTACAGCATCGAGACATTCAAATGTTCTACCTCCCATTAGATATCTCACTCCTTTTTTTTCAATTCTGAATCTTTGTATCTGGTTATTTATGTGGAAAAACAGTGAATAATCTCCCGGACTGTTGTCTGATGGTCTGACCTATGACAGAAGATGCAGAGTTTCAAAGAATTATAAAATAAAATATACATTATTTACAAAATGAAAGAAATAATGTTTTGCTTACTAGGAAACTTCCAGGTCCTGCTTTTACCAACATGTCTACCGCTTCGCTTTTGGTGACATTAGGATGAAACCAGGAAAACACTGTGTTAGGATCTATTGAATCATCAAGATCATCCACTAATTCTCGAAATATTAAACCCTGTTCGCCAGTTCTATGGGCAGTGACCCACAACCACCCATCACCCATATCATTGTGCACGAAAAATATATCGCCTTTTTGAAAGCTCAATTCATCAGTATCTGGCATTTTCGTATATGGCAATATCGCGACAATTCGTTTCTTATCATTTACTGGCTCAGGGGGTGGTGTTGGGTGTATAAGTCTTTCTCTCTTTAGCAGATCCGAACAATGAGTATAATATGCAACCAGATCTGATAAGCTATTAAATTGACGACCGCCTACAACATTATTTCAGATTAAAAAGTAGTATTTATTTGACCAGAACTTTTGCATACAAAATAATATAAATGTAAAGAGTTTTGTGTCATTTAATTTTGATATTAAAAGCATTATACAAATGTTATATTTTAACATTAAACCTCTAATTTGACATATTATTTTCAGAATAAATAGATTCTGATAAATGATTTTAAGATTCTCATGTGCTAAAATATAAAATAAATATAAAATAAAATATCTCAAACAATATATAACTATCAAAGCATTTATGTATATCTCTCAAAGTTGCTTTAAATATATTACGGCATAACTATGGATTGTTAAATTATATCTCAGTCTTTACCAATATAATAATCTCCACAAACAGCTGTAATTCGAAAGTGATTTATTCCAGTTCTTCCCAAGTAAGACAGAACATAACTTCCAGGTTTTCTGTCACTTTCACGAACTAGGTAACTACCCATTTTACTTGCATCCCACAGTCTTTCCTCTGCAGTAAATCTATCTAATCTACCATGATACCACCTGCAAGAAAGATTACATGCTTCCATTTATATCTTAATCCTATGATTGTGAATGCATTAGATTCAATCATATAATCAGTTTTGCATAAACATGTAACTTCATTGCAAAGAAAACAATGTTTATAAAAAAAAAAAAAAAAAGAAAAAAAAAAGAAAAAGTATTCAGTCTCACTGATTTTCTGCTGGTGCTGTTAATAAAGTAGCATTTGCGCCATCAGGTTCTTCTGTATCTTGTATATCATCTGGTATATTTTCAAGAAAAGGATCAAATTCATTCTCCGCATTTAATGATTCATTCTGACCACCATCTTCGCTTCCTGTACTAGGAGATCCACCTTTACTACTATGTTCCATCTATAAAAGTACGAATGATATCCAATAAGACTATAATCTTTTATTTTTTATCTCCTACTCAACTTTATTTTATACATATGTACACGTCAATAATTTGATTCACTTTTGACATGTTACTTTTTTTATCAGTTTCTCTAAAATATTGTACTAGCATATTAATTAAAAAAAAAAATATATATATATATAAATAAACAAAAATATATAGGATAAAGCATGTATGTGTGCTTCATTATCGCGTGCATTGAAAGTGTCGGACGACACCGATAATGATTGACATCGAGATAAGTCGTAAATATGCAAAACGCGCCGAGATAAAAAGAATCGACGAAGGATTAAGAATATTAAATAAGAATGGCACGAAAACAATTCCGCGTTATGGCGATTGCGCTTCCCTTCCGTGACGCCGTGCAACAAAGAAATGACGTGTGGTGGACGGTGAATAATACTCCTACCTTAGCATTGTTGGACACGCTGGGTCCACCGCGTACAAATTCCGCCATCCTGTCGACACACACTCACATACACGCGATCACGGGCGAGAATCGAGCCGGTCAGTCGAACGGCATACGTCCTTATCGCGATGTCTCCCTACGCCGCGCGATTATTTACAAAGGCAGACTCTTATTAATATAAAATATATTGACGTTTCCCGGCAGCCATTTTACTATTGCACGCGCCGACCGCGAAGTATGCACGCGCAAGAGACGCCGCTGTGACAGATGACAGGTGACAGCTGGCGGTCGGTAATGCAGGGAGAGACATGGATTTGCCATGCAGTTACGGATCTTTATAATTAACTTATCGATGTCCGAGAAGCTTGGAAAAACTCGACATGCTTGCGTATGTTTTTAAATCTATGATTGTTTATGCATGTGGCACATGTACATGTCCTTGACCATAATGGAGTAATAGAGACATCCGCTGTCATCTGTGAAATGCAAACATATTCAATCGGACACGCGGCTTTACATAAACGAATATAATTTTAGCAATCATATTAATAATTTTCTTATTCATTTTGAGGATAAATAAAAGTGCGCTTGCGTAAATGGTTGTGAAAAATACCAAATATCGATAATACGTGGCGCGTAATTATGTATAATTATCCATATGTATAAATTCTTGATTTTCAGTAATCGGTTTTTAATTAGAAAAGTCGACAGTGTCCTAAATGTTTATCAGGTAAAAATATGCATCAATATCTTGTCATTGTATAATGTACATGTTTATTCGAAATTTTTGATTATTATGTTAATTTTTTTCGTAACCTTTGGTATCTTAAAATTCAAAGAAATTATATGGCAAGGTTAAACTTCAATATTTGAATACATTAGCATCACAATAAAAAGATAAGCCATTCTCTGTATCTCTGTATTTACAGTTAGTTCCTGTTTGGCAGCCAGACAGTTAACACACTTGTAACCATGATGCAAGGAGCGTGTAAGAAGTTTGGTAATGTCATGCATAAGATTACAACATTTACAAGAAAAAATCATGGAATGGCAGCGTTACAGCAAGCTGCTATGGACCAGGAACGTTGTATACTTGTAGACAAACAGGATAAGTCTATTGGCGAAGCTACAAAGGAATTCTGTCATAAAATTGATGAACAAGGAAGTTTGCCACTTCATAGGGCATTCAGTTGCTTCTTGTTCAATAATAAAGGAGACTTGTTACTTCAAAAACGATCTAAAAATAAGGTGAGATATGTATATTTATGTCATATATTTTAAGATATTGAACATTTTTAAATTAATAGCTACAGGCATCAGTTTTAATATTTAACATTATATATCATTTGGAAATTAAGATTCAAAATAAAATTGCTTGTTTATTATTTTATCAAGTAAAATTAATTAATATAGAACAATCTTTTGTCCTTTCTTTTGTACTTTTTTAGTAAATATTAGATATCAAAAAAATCTATACTTATATATATTTCTGTTACACATCTAGATAACATTCCCAGATCTTTTCACAAATACTTGCTGTAGTCATCCATTGGCAAACATTCCTTCCGAAAAGGAAGAGAAAAATGCTATGGGTGTACGCAGAGCTGTAATAAGAAGACTCAATTATGAACTGGGTATACCCACTGATGAACTCAAGCCTGAGGACACCTTTTATTTGACAAGAATCCACTACATACTGAAGAGTAATCCACATTGGGGTGAACACGAGATAGATTACTTGATCTTTGTGCAAAAAGATGTCACTGTAAATCCTAATCCCGACGAAGTGAGTGAGATTCGATGGCTACCTAGATCAGAGATTGAAGACTTAATAAAAAGTACGATACCGCTAACACCATGGTTCCGTTTAATATATGAATACAAATTGCTGCATTGGTGGGACAACCTACATAATTTAAATAAGATGCAAGATCTTAAAAGTATAACTAGATTGTCAATTTGATTCCTGAAAAATTCATGTAGGCTATATGACAATTTTGCTGAAAATTTTCTACATATTTTAAATTTTCTATTTAAAATAATACACATATAGGATTTGTTTACAGACCTGTATTTTTTTACTTGAATTTGTACATGCGTATTTTGATATATGATCCAGATCTTTGGAGGAAAGCAATTTATTTAATAAAAAGTTAGATACATATACAAAAATAAAAGAGAAAAATATCAAACCTAGTCCTTCTTCGATCTGTATAACAAAAATGTAATATTTATACATAATTTAAGCATTTCTTGAATGCAAAAATGCATATATTAAATATGTTATTATTAAGTATATTATTATTATTAAATATTATTAAATATATTTTATTAAAGCATAATGTAATAAATCAATTGTAATAAATAATTTGTTATTGCATTTCACATTTCTCGTTTTCATATTTTTTATATACTAAAAAACTATTGATTTCAAATAAGTATTTATTTGTTTTAAAAAGGGATTTCTTATATAAAATAAATATTTTTTCATGGCAAATCAATATTATTAATTTCAAATGGTGTCAATAATATTATTTAAATAAATATTTATTTGAAATCAGTCGTTTTTTTAGCGTAACGATTTTTACTTTTATCCAGCTAATTAATTTTTTTACCTTTCTTAATTATTTAAAAAAATTTATTATTAATTTGTCACATTTCTATATCATGACTTGTTTATTCTTAGCGAACAATTCTACAATATTTGTTGATCATATGTAGAGACTAGTTGGAATGATAACTATAGATATGCACTTATTTAAATGAAACACACTCAATTACAAAGTTTGAATGTTTTAATCAGATTGTTAACAAAGTCATTAACAAAGTAATATTAATGATTAAAAAAAATAATGCTAATAAAAATGTATATATATACCCTTCATAAGTTTGTGGAAACACCTTACAATTTATAGTTAAAGATTATTGCATGGCAGCGATTTGTTATAAATAAAAATGTCATTTAATGATTTATTTATTTTATGATTTATTTATACAAAAAATCTGCACAGATCTGTCAAAAGAATCCTCTTAATTTAAAAGATAAATTCTCTAAAAAAATAGATCTTTAATTAGATATTCGTAATATGCAAGAATATAAACTTATGTTGTATTTATGTGGTGAGCCGCGAATTATATTCTTAATAAGTACATAATATATAAATAAATTCTAAGACATATAAGAGACGTCTTATTAAAATCTAATAATTAAAAATGGAAAAAAAATTTATGTATTTTGATAAGTGCAAAATATATATATGTAAAAAAATTCTAAAGTAAATTAGAAACGTTTCATTAGTTAATAGATGTGCATATAAATATTAATACATAGTAAAACTTTACAGTTTAGATTTCCAAAATAGATTCATATTTTGCTTTAATATTAAAAATTTATTTTGGAAAATTATGCAGAAAAAAAAATATCTTCCATATTTTTGTAGTTTTTTCTTCACGAAGAATTATATCTTTAATGGTATTATCGCAATTTAATAGACTTGTGAATATTTTGTTTTTCGAATATACTTATATAAAAAATTAAAAGACTACTTTTTTCAAATAAATAATTATTATTTTATAAAAAAGGGAACAATTTATTATGAAATATAAATTTCATTAAAAGATTATATTTTATTCCATTAGAAGAATTCAAATGAGTTGAAGAAAAACTACGAAGGAATATAAAAATAGAAAATTTTCTTTTCATATTTTCTGATGCGTGCGCACTAAATAATTACGAATTATATTCGTATTTCTTTTGCTTCTCTTTTGCAGTTTATCTATTTTTTGCAAACAATAAACTTCAGATATGTGAGGAAGAAAGAGAGTGAAACTGTGTTAGTAAAAGCATACCTTGCGAGATGAAACTCTTACGTTACGTTCCCTAATTTCTACGCGATCGTACGTCGCAGTGGGAATTAAACAAGTAGAAGAATAGGATGTAAAATGAGAAGTAACCCAGTTTATATAAGACACGTTATATACCTTCATCATTGCTGTGATCATTAGTATATCTGCCCTTCCCATCCATTCATGACGTGCTCTTTCGTAGGTGGGTTATATATAAACCTGTTTATGTCTTCTTCTTGCTCTTTTGCATCTTGTAAGACATCGTAGATATACATATCATTATACATGTGCATATAATTATTATACTTTTTTTTTCGTTGCACATGAATTTATGCTACTGAGTGACGCAAAGTGAAAAGAAGTACGTGAAAGTTTATTTTGTCTCAGTACGCGTATATTTTCAAATATTTGAGAAACTTCTAAATCATCTTAAAGATGATGTGTTCAACGACAATTCGATACGGTATATTTGTTTTATGCTTTGTTGTATTGTTTGCCACTACACTGGGCTTATACGAAACTGCACCGCACATAATAGTCGTCATGGCTGATGATTTGGTAAGATATTGATGTACATTTTAAGACATACTGATATATATTTATGTATTTTATATATAATTGTATTTAAAAGAAATAATATATCTTAATAGTAAAGAATATTCTAATGTAATTCTTAATTATATTTGATATTTTTAAATATATTCTACTATTCTTATTGTTATGCGGGTGTGTGAATGCAATGTATAATTGCTGCATATATAATAGTTAAAATTTACATGATTGATATAGCAAATTATATATATATATATATATATATATATATATATATAATTATTTGTATAAATAATTATAGAATAATAATTATTTTATTTATTAATTAAAATAATTAAGTTAGTAAGTCACATCCTTATTTAGAAAAAAAGTTCGAAATATATATACTAGACAAACAGTTTTACTGACGTAAATTGTAAATTGGATAAGTAATTCTTCAAATTAACAAAACAATGGACATAAATTATTTTGATATTTTATCCCACATATGCATATTTAAAAGTTGTTCAGAAGATATTTTGAAGATATCTTTAGGTAATAAGATATATTTTCAGGATATCTTCTAAACATCTTTTGAATATGCATTAATTATTTTTGGAATTTTTTAATATATCTCGCTATCTTTATTGTTTTGTGGTTGTGTGAATATGTAAATGTTGCATAATAATTAAATTTACATGATGATTGATATCGCGGATTATATATAATTATTTGTATAAATAACTATATAGAATAATAATTATTTTTATTGATAATAAAAATAATTATGGTAATAAGTCACAACCTTATTTAGAAAAATAGTCCGAAATATACAGGATGTCCCAGAATTACTGTATCACACATTAATGAGAGATTCCTGAGGCGATTTGGAGACGATTTTTCTTCAGCGAAAATGTCGAGAAAAGTCATCATTTTTTTAATGTTCCCAATTTTTGAAATCATGTATCTTTGTAACTAACAATAAGCCTTAAATTAAAATTCTATTAAAGTAAACTTTACCTGAAATTAACTAAAAAATGTAGCTTTGTTAATAATTTATTTTTACAAGGCTTAGTTTACAAAAAAGCTTTTATTTTCAATCGTTTATAACTCGAAAATTATTGGTGCCTGGACATTTTCGCTGAGGAAAAATCGTCTCCAAATCGCCTCAGAAATCTCCCATTAACGTGTGATATGTGTGAAATCTGGAACACCCTGTATATTAGGCAAACAGTTTTACTGATGTAAATTGCACATACCTATATATTACATATAAAAGTTATCATTTTTTCAAAATAATACTCTAATTTAAAAAATTAAAGATTAATTTTATGATTGTTAAACTTTTAAATGTTCATATGCTTTGTTAATTTTAAGAGTTTTACAATTTAGACAATGTGATACTAATTTGTTAAAAATAAAAAAAGAAACAGAGAAACTAAAATGTTTTAGAGCAATCTTTAAAAAATCAACATTTACGTATATATAAAAAATTAATTCTTTGATAAATTTATTTTAACTTACTTGTTTTTCATACAAGTTTTACTTTGAGAGTTTCGAAAGACACGCGTTCACATATATCTACTATAGAGAAATTAAAAATTTATTAATAAGGCTTATTTAATATTTAATTAATAAGGCTTAAGTTAAAAATTATTTATATAATAGTTGGCCTAAACTGCTGTTATGTCACTTGCGTTTGCAATGTATGTTTTAATTTAGGCCGATTAATTAATTTGTACGAAACAATGATTAAAATTATACTTAGTTAAGTTAATTATCATGACTTACGTACTATCCACGCCTCCGCGATCAAGTTGTGGATTGTGACTCATTCCAACTCTTGACGAATGCTAATTCTACATGTCAATTATGCTTTATAATTCGATTGTATAATTATTATATATTAGACTTCCGATGTGCCATTTGTGCCGATGTATATATGAAAAAAAAGAAGGAAAGTACCTTCTATCTATATATTTCAATAACATAGAAATGTCAAGATAATTGTGTTTTTAAAAGTCAATATCTTTCTGCAAAAATTTTATTTATGTTATGATAAATGTATGTATACACATATACATTTATCATAGCAATATAAACAAAATTTTTACAGAAAACATTTTATATAAAAACATATTAAATATTATTAATATTTCAATGTAATTATTAATTATCAATTTAATACGCTAAATAATGTTCCAAATTTTTAGGGATGGAATGACGTCAGTTTTCACGGTTCGGATCAGATACCGACTCCGAATATAGATGCTTTGGGATATAATGGAATTATATTAAATAGGCATTATGTCTTACCATCCAGCACACCTTCTAGAACTGCCTTTTTTACTGGACAGTATCCGATACGTTTGGGTATGAGTTATTCATCGCATTTCGTAAATAATAAATAATCATGAAATATGTTTCTGAAGCAGCATTTAGCAAATATTTTACAAAATTTCCAATAAACTTTTAATCATTTTTTTTCAGAAAATAAAATTGTATTTTATATAGAAAAGATTTATATTTCTTTTTCTGCGTAAAAAAGTAGAGAAAATATTATATATATATATATATATATATATATATATATATATATATAATATATTATTATATATATTATAATGTTTAGGACCGACTCTCACGATAACAGGATGCGTCAATTTGTCGCGTCTTTAAGCAAGATAATGAGCACATTCATAAATGTATATGTGTATGTGCGCGATGACGCCACAAAAATTAATGCAGCATCCGTGTGCTTTTGTGTCTATATTGTACCATATTGCTTCATGCAGGTATGCAGGGAGAAGGTATACAGGGTGGTGAACCTAGAGGGATTCCTCTCAATGTGAGATTATTACCAGAATATTTACGAGGTTTAGGATACACGACAAAACTTATCGGAAAGTGGCATTTGGGATACTACACACTTCAACATACCCCTTTACATAGAGGTTTCGATTCCTTCCTTGGCTTTTATAATAGTCATGTTTCGTACTATGACTATAAGTACTCGTTTCAGGTATATCCCGATTACATCAGTTAATTATTATTTCGTAATAAACTGACGTGCAATCAAAATAAATGTCTATAAGGTTCTATTATTTTTCTCTTTAACGCGTAATATTTTCAAATAGATAATGTAATAGAAATTAATTAAATATATATACATGATTTTTTCTTAATAATAAATACAGCCATTATATACAAATATTATATAATATATTGCAATATATTAAAATATTTGTTTGTATATAATTTGATATAAAAATTCTAAAAACTCATGTCAATTTGTAATTTACTTTCTATTGTAATTAAGTATGCATTTTGATATTTTTTTATCAGAACATGAGCGGATACGATATGCATCGTGGCGATGCTCCAGCTTATGGATCAAGTGATAAATACGTGACTGACCTTTTCACCGACGAAGCGATCAGAATCATTCAGTATCACGAGTCATCTCGACCGCTCTATCTTCAAATCTCGCATCTCGCTGTTCACGCGCCTGTCGAAAGTCCACACGATTACAACAACTACGATAGACAGTTCATACATATTCGAGAAATAAATCGCCGCAACTATGCTAGTACGTATTATGTTAATGTTAAAAATCGGAATATAAAATCAATCATATCTCTAACGTTAATTTTATCATCATATTACGCAATAAACTATTGAATAAATATCTATATTTAAGCAATGTTAATTTAATTCATATAATTTTCATATAATGACAGGATATTTATGAAACGATTCATTGTTTTTATCATCGTTTTGCTAGGAACGGTATCGCGATTAGATAATTCCGTTGGTCGTATCGTTCAAGCCTTAGGTAGCAGAGGAATGTTAAAGGATTCGTTGATCCTCTTTCTAACTGACAACGGTGCAGCATCCATTGGCAAATTCCGCAATTATGGTTCTAATTATCCCTTACGAGGTGTATGTATTTTAAGTTATATATAATTAATATATATATATCACACAAATCGATAAGTTCATGACATACTGATTATACAAATATGTTGCAATCAATTTTCTCGATCTAGAATAAGAAAAATGCCAACACACAGAATTATATGATTAATAGTGAATATATATATATATATATATATATATATATATATATATATTAATTAAAAATATAAATTTTATTTTATTTTCTTTAAATTATATTTACTTTATAATTTATTTTTAAATCATATTTTATTTTCATATTTGAAAATTTCTAAAAAAATACTCATGAACTTACGAATCGCTTTAAAAGTTCGAAGATAATAAAAGAAGATTAATTTGTATGACAATAGATGAAATATACGCTGTATGAAGGAGGTGTGAGAGGAATCGCCGTATTGTGGTCACCAAGATTGCATAAGACAGCACGTGTATGCGACGATCTGATGCATGTAACCGACTGGTTGCCCACTCTGTATTCTATCGCTGGTGGTAATGTGAAAGATTTAGGAGAGATCGATGGAGTCAATCAGTGGTGCATGTTGAATGGCAGTTTGCCGAGTGCCAGGGACAAAATATTACTTAACATCGACGAGATCTCCAAGACTGAAGGCGCCATATACAAGCAATTCAAGCTCGTTCGGGGTATTTTTTTATTATTATTGGAATTATTGGCTAAAATAATAATATAATTTAAAGAAATAAGATATAAACAAATTATCATGAACAGAATTGAAGTTCTCATATACAAATTTGAAATCATGAGGTATTATTAATAAAAGGTCTTAGACCTTAAATTATATGGTAAAAATTTTGAAAATACATTTGCGCAAAAATTCTAATTTTTAAAGGCTCGTCAAATTAATTTTCAACAGGTATAGTGTTATAAGTTCATTCATTTATATTAATAATTCCGCGTGTTAGTATTATATATTTAAGAAAAATAAAGTATATATGTCTTAGGATCAATTGAGGGCGGACACTATGATGGACATTATAGTCACGATATTAACTCTAATAATTTCGAAAGATTCTCGCCTTATGAACCCAGAAAAAGCATACAAGAGGATACGCCGTATATATATACTGACATTGTTTTGAAAAGCGTGGTGTCGGAAAGCATCGCTCGTCATCTGGGTGATCCGGTCACTCAACCTAGTACAATGATTCAGTTACGGAGCGAAGCAACTGTTAATTGTAAACCTAATAAAAACTACAGTTTCCTTACATGCAACGTCACCGAGTGTCTCTTCGATATCAATAATGATCCCTGCGAAATGAAGAATATCGCCGAGCAATATTCAAGGGTAAGGAAGTATCACGTGTGATGTTAAATTAAGTTTACGAACTGAAACTCATTTTATATATTCAGATCAATGTTCTCATGTCTTAAATGTGTGGTCAGTAAATGTCTATAAGGTTTAAGGTTTAAAAAATTAAACTATAATTAATATACATTATTATTTTTTAATAACAAATGCTTTATTAAAATAATAATCCATTTTATATAGTTACTTGTGATAGTCTGAATCTTAATAATTTGTCAATAAGATATGCAAAGTTAGGGTCATTAATTATAGGTCAGATGACATCTCGTGTAATTATTTTCTTTTTTGTAGATCTCTCGGGAACTGGACCAATTTTTGGAACAGTATGGGCGTATCATTAAGAGACAAATCAAAATACCAATAGACTGGCAGGCAGATCCAAGAAGAACAAACAATACGTGGGAACCGTGGCTAATATCGAATAGTGAACATGAAATGATGATTCTGAACAATTCAGCGGCTCAATTGGCCAATTTGATGTATTGTGTTCACATCGCGATTATTCTCGTAACAATCACGTGCAATAGTTTTATTTAAACAAGTGTACGCAAAACATACACGCGATCATCTATTTATCGCGATATTATTTATTTGATTAGTTGATCAATTTACGCGGAATCAATTTATCGATTTGATGTAATAGAACTTTCTGTATTTTAGTGTAATAATAGTTTCTCTTTTCCTTCATAATTATTATTCATAAATTTTTGTTTAAAAAACTGCGACTTTGTAATATAAAATGCGTGTATATGTATATATCTTACAGCATATAAATGTGTATAAGTAGTGATTTCATTTTTAAATAAATTATAATGTATAGAGATATGTTTAATTCAGATCATATAAACACTTGGCAAATTAACATTTGCATAACATTTCTCCTCGTTGCTATATAGTCTTATACGAAATTATGTCAATTTTTTTGTTAGATTTTACTTCATATTATTCACTGTTCTATTGATTTACATTGCAGAAATATTTACAAATATAATAAAACGACGACGAAGATGCATATTATGACTTATTTTATATATTGTTTGAGATATAGAGCTATTAAAAAAAAGATACATTATTATATATGCTACAAAATATATATATACGCATTTCTATTTTAAAAAATCGCATGATTTTTTCGTGGAGATAATTTTGTAGATGGTTTCATAATATTTCTTTAATATTTTTAACATTATTTTAGTTATCTAAGTTTTTAATCATAATTGTAATTATCAACATCTCAAATGACTCAATATGACCTCGTGGAGGATTGGTAGTTATTTAAACTATGTTAGCTATGTATGTCAATTAATGCGTATGTTCAAACCTGTTTTCACTTTTGCGTGCATAATTAAATTACGCAATCGTAAATAGAGTCAGCACATATTTTTCAGTTAAAATAACAGAGTGCTAATTTAATTTAGTTTATAATAACAAAGTACTAATTGATTCTACGTTATGTTTATCGGTCTTGGTGTTGAAAACGCTGTACTTTTATCAAATTATTTCATTTGCAATAGAATTAAGCGACATTCCATGAAAGCAAGATATGCATTTTTATTCATTTTATCGTCAATTATACTTCTCTGAATGTGAGAGTTATTAATACTTAAGATCAATTTTATCTTATCATGTAATTTATCGTAGCATTATGTAAGCTTATACAAACTTCACACTATAATTACCAGAGGTATGTAAATCGAAAAAGATGGAATATAAAAAATTTTTTTAATTATTAATTTTTAATTAATGCTTTATTTTGCTATTTTGATTATAATATATCCCTAATTAATAATGTATAGCCCTATAATTAAATAATAATTTATAATTAATTCATCATATAGTATATAATAAATAAACATGTATTGTGCAAATATGATTATTTTTTTATTTTAATATATTGTAATGATTTTTTCTAATATCTTTATATATTAGATAAGAGCTTTGCGCAAACAATTATTCTAAATATATTCAAAGCGCTATATTTGCGTGAATAGATATTATATAATATATAAATATATCTCAAGCTGTACATATTATGTACAGAACACAACTGCGACGAAAGATAAATATAAAAAAATTCGTTCACAATCGAGAAATTTTATTAGACCGTAACAAAGTTTTAGCTCACGCTTCCACTATATAGATTATCATAACAAAGTCATTAAACGTCTGAATGCTACCGCTCTCAGCGTATAAATTTAGCAATGTATGTCTTACACCTTACAGTATCAAACGTAATGTGAAGTCGAACAGTTATCGCCAGCAATCAATCGTTCGATAGTCGAATAATAAAATCAAAGATAATCTTAGATATTGATAGTGCAAAACTATGCTAAAAAAGTGCTTAAACTTATATGTGATCGAACGAAAAGACTATTTTTATTAAAATTAAACAATCATATATAGTAGGCCAACTAAACGAGCAAATAAATAAGATGTAAAAATTTTTTTATTAATAGTTAAATCATTAAATTAACATTCCGTTACAGAATCGATATAAATTGTAAACGTTTCGACTGCACTACAGTCTTTATCAATACATAAAAATTAAATATTAAAATATAAAGTTAGATGTTAAAAATACAAAGTTAGTTAAATATTAAAATATAAAATTGAAACGATTCTTCGCTGTTGACCAATAGATATGCAAGGCGATTGGTCTGAGATGCCAAGTTATGCGACATTTGAGCATGCTACGGATATAATACGCGAATTAAATCAATGTCAGAAAAAATTAAAAAATCTTTCAACTTACATTATCGTTTTAACAAGTCCTTTTCCCCGATATTTCAAGTGTGTGTTGCGAAGTCTGAATACCAAATGTCAAAATAGAGAGCGTGATGTATTTATTTATTACCAATGTTTTTTCTAAATTATGATTCAGCAAATTTTTTAAGTATGTCAAAATAACTACTGTCTAACAATTCGGTGTCTGTATTTAAATTAATTCCATTTTTTTGTTCTTTAATGTGGATCATTTCAGATATTAGTCTTTTATGGTAATTCTTTTCATGATCCATAATTTTAATATTGTCCCAGTCAAATGTATGTTGTTCGTTTAGAATGTGTTCCGTGATAACCGAATGTCTAGCAGAGTCTAATTTAATATTATTTTTATGTTCTTTAAGTCTCGTTCCTAACTGTCTTTTTGTCTGTCCGACATATGTGGCGTCACAATCGTTGCAATTCAATTTGTAAATAACGTTAGAATTCGTGGGGCAATTATTTTGTCCTTTTGAACTCTTATGAAGTCATTTAATTTTTTAATGCAACGATATCCTACCACTACGTCAGGTCTTCTTATTGCTGAAGCAACTTTCTCAGATATTGATTCTATATATGGTATGACAAAATATTTAATGTTAGTATTAGTATTATTAGTATCTGTTGTATTGTTATTATTAGGCTTGTTAAATTTCTTAGTTGAGAGATTTTTTAATCTGCGTTTTATTTCTGTGAAAATTAGATCAAGAGGATAACCGTTGGATAGCAAAATGTTAATAGCTTTCTCTATATTTTTTTTGTGAAATTGCGGATGTGATAGTAATAAAGCTCTATCTACCTCTTTAGAGCTTTATTACTATCACATCCGCAATTTCACAAAAAAAATATAGAGAAAGCTATTAACATTTTGCTATCCAACGGTTATCCTCTTGATCTAATTTTCACAGAAATAAAACGCAGATTAAAAATCTCTCAACTAAGAAATTTAACAAGCCTAATAATAACAATACAACAGATACTAATAATACTAATACTAACATTAAATATTTTGTCATACCATATATAGAATCAATATCTGAGAAAGTTGCTTCAGCAATAAGAAGACCTGACGTAGTGGTAGGATATCGTTGCATTAAAAAATTAAATGACTTCATAAGAGTTCAAAAGGACAAAAATAATTGCCCCACGAATTCTAACGTTATTTACAAATTGAATTGCAACGATTGTGACGCCACATATGTCGGACAGACAAAAAGACAGTTAGGAACGAGACTTAAAGAACATAAAAATAATATTAAATTAGACTCTGCTAGACATTCGGTTATCACGGAACACATTCTAAACGAACAACATACATTTGACTGGGACAATATTAAAATTATGGATCATGAAAAGAATTACCATAAAAGACTAATATCTGAAATGATCCACATTAAAGAACAGAAAAATGGAATTAATTTAAATACAGACACCGAATTGTTAGACAGTAGTTATTTTGACATACTTAAAAAATTTGCTGAATCATAATTTAGAAAAAACATTGGTAATAAATAAATACATCACGCTCTCTATTTTGACATTTGGTATTCAGACTTCGCAACACACACTTGAAATATCGGGGAAAAGGACTTGTTAAAACGATAATGTAAGTTGAAAGATTTTTTAATTTTTTCTGACATTGATTTAATTCGCGTATTATATCCGTAGCATGCTCAAATGTCGCATAACTTGGCATCTCAGACCAATCGCCTTGCATATCTATTGGTCAACAGCGAAGAATCGTTTCAATTTTATATTTTAATATTTAACTAACTTTGTATTTTTAACATCTAACTTTATATTTTAATATTTAATTTTTATGTATTGATAAAGACTGTAGTGCAGTCGAAACGTTTACAATTTATATCGATTCTGTAACGGAATGTTAATTTAATGATTTAACTATTAAAAAAAAATTTTTACATCTTATTTATTTGCTCGTTTAGTTGGCCTACTATATATGATTGTTTAATTTTGTTTAATTTATACGAGTCTATTTTTATTAGTTTTACTTGGCATTAGATTTTTTTGAATGATGAATTGTATTTATCGATTGATTAATTGTCAATTTTAACATAAAAGTATTATCGCTATATATATGCAACATCGATCATCAATAATTTAATGTAATATTTTTGTGAGTTTGATTAATTTTAGTGATCTCATCATCGAATTGACAAAATACTGAAAGCTATGAAATTGAAGAGAATGGGATTGTTTATAGGATTTGGAGTGATCATTTTGATTATCGCATGCATGTATATCGGTTCGAAACATGGCGATCCTATGCAGTCACCTAACATCGTCGTTATCATCGCTGATGATCTTGTACGGAATTATTTTTTATTAATATTATAACTTAGCGCGTTTATAGAAAAAAATATAGTTGTATAGCTTGAAATATATTTGTAGAAAAATCTATAACAATACTTTTTGTCATAGACTTTTTTATTTGTTATTTATAAAAAAAATGATGTAATTAACAAATTTAATTCTAGAATATATGTTCTTCTTAAGTTTCTTTGTTGTTTCTATGTTAAATATTATCAAGATTAACTACAAATTAATTTTTTTTTAATTATACATCTTTTATTTCTTTTTAAAATCTCCTTTTAAATGGTCCCTTTGGAATTCAAGAATAAACGAAACACGTTTCTAATATATTGCATCATTACGTGTAAATCATAAAATATAGTTTATTATATATTTCTGATAACTGAAAGGGATGGAACGACGTTAGCTTTCACGGCGCTGATGAGATTCCTACACCGAACATAGATGCTCTCGCATACAATGGTGTGATACTAAATCGACATTATGTACTACCAATATGCACACCATCGAGAACAGCTTTCCTCACTGGGAGATATCCCATAAGGGCAGGTAATCCGTTTAATTAATCACAACGTATCATTTAATAACGTGGCGTACATCATTGTATGTTTTCAGCTTTTAAAAATTATTCACACCTTATAAACACGATTAAGATACTCAATCTAGCGATGATTTTCTCGCGAAAGTTAACGCGTTCATATTTCTTTACTTGGAATTTATATCTTTATTGATTCTGTTTTATTCTATTCTGAAGTAATAACTATAATTTTGTGTTAAATCATAAAAATGCACTTCAAAACTGTTTTATGAAAAAGAAATTAATTAAAATTTAATTCAATTAAAATGTGTGCAATATATGAAGGTATGCAGGGCTTTCCTTTGCGAGGAGCCGAACCACGCGGAATACCTTTGAATGATATTCTTTTACCCGAGTATCTTCGAAGAGTTGGATATACTACTCATCTGGTGGGAAAATGGCATGTTGGTTATCATACAAGAAATTACGGACCTACTCGTCGTGGCTTCGATACTTTTGTTGGATATTATAATGGTTATATCCAATATTTCAATCACACACTCTACGAAAGTGTAAGTTTTGTGTCATTATTTGGGGAAGAAACTATTAATATTATGAAATATTTTGCTACAAATATCATCATACATTGATGTACAATTCTTCTGCATTATGCTACAATGCAGCAATAATAGGATTATTACTTACCATAACTGCCAACAAAGTTTGATTAATCGAGTTTGTTTTTCATCCCACGTATTGTGAATAAATACAGAAAATTATTTCACAGAAACAATTTGGTTACGATTTGCATCGTATTGTGGGTGATAATCACACGATTGAATATAACTATAAATATATGACTGATTTTATAACCAATGAGGCTAAAAATATTATTTCATCGCATAATCCTGCGAAACCTCTGTATTTGCAATTGGCACATCTTGCGGCTCATGTCAGCGATGCCGAAGAGGGCATGGAAGTACGCAATTGGGGAAAAACAAATGCTACTCTTGGTTATATCAAAGATATAAATAGAAGAAAGTACGCAAGTATGTAATATTCTTCCAATTGCAATTATTACAAATATTATGCGCATTAAATTTACATAAAAATCAATCTTTACGCAAAAGACAGAAAATTGCTTTTCTTTCTTTTCTGTTTATGTAATCGTAATTTTAAAATAATTCCTTAATTTATCAATTAATAGTTTATTTCAAACTATCCAAGAAAATTTTTTTATATTATTTTACATATTATTTTGTTCTATTTTTATTTCAACTATAATAATAATGTTAGTTAATTGTTTGCGTTTTTTTTTATACTAATGATTTAATTTTATAATGTTTGAAATTGTAAACATTTGTCTTTAGGTGTCGTTACTACATTGGATGAATCAGTCGGTCGAGTAATCGATGCTCTGAGGAGAGCAGATATGTTGAAAAACTCAATTATTGTTTTCATGTCTGACAATGGAGCGCAGACTGAAGGAATCTTGCAGAATTACGGATCCAATTATCCACTTAGAGGGGTAAATACAGTACATGCTTTTTTTATAAATAAGCGTTATGCTGAGACAGTTTGCAAAAATTATTATTTAGATAAGGAATGCGACAGAGCGATGAGAATTTAAGATTTATATTGAATTTGAAATAAATAATTAATTGATTTATTTGTAGTTGAAATTCAGCCTTTTCGAAGGCGCCGTTCGCGGCGTAGCATGCATCTACTCACCCTTGATTGAGTATTCGTCGAGAGTTTCTTCTCAATTATTTCATATTACCGATTGGTTGCCAACATTATATTCCGCGGCTGGCGGTAATCCGAATGATCTGAAACAATTGGATGGCATTGATCAATGGTCTGTACTTCAGAGCGCGAGAGATGGCAAATCAATTCGAAAATCAATTCTTCTGAATATTGATGAAAAGGAAAATAGCGCAGCAGCGTTAATAGGACATTATAAACTTGTTAAAGGTACGTAGTATTAGTATATTACATAAATCATTTTTTTCTAGTGATGGATTCAAGACAAGACAAGAATCGGATATACTTGTCTTCTCTTGATTTTTTTCAATCAAAAATTATTATGTCTTGATCTCGACAGTCAATTTCTTGTCTTGATTCTTGCAAGATTCTTGATTTTTTTATAATATCTATAGATATTTATTTAGAACATTTTGATTTTACTATTTTTGAAAATTTTTATAAACGTTATATATCGAAAAAATGTTTTTGACAGAGAAATGTCAACTAAAAACACAAAAAAAATTTACAAAATGTTATTAAAACATAAAATTTTGTATTACTGATAAAAATAAAAAATAAATGTGAATATCAAAAATAATAAAAGACACGGCTTAAGTAATATAATTATTATTATAGTAATATAATTATTTTTATCAAATAAAAATTTCCTATATTCGAAATAAAAGATTTCGGTTTTCAGTAAAACTATAAAGTTTATTGTTTTTTAGCAATTTAAATTTTGCATTTAATTATTTGAAATTGAGACTGGACGGGAGGAGCTCAGAGTGATGTATATATAACTACAATTAAATAATTAAATACTAAAATAATTAATTCCGTATATAATAATGTATATATAATTGTAGTTTCAGTTATCAAGAATCTTGATTGATTTTTCTTGTCTTGCCTTGATCTTGAAGCACAAATCTTGTCTCGTCTCGATTTTATCAAGTACAAAAAATTTGTGATTTCGTCTTGAAAAATCAAGACAAGACGAGACAAGATCTTCAAATTTCTTGTCTTGTCGTCCATCACTATTTTTTTCACGTTTCATATTATTTATCATAATTTAATTTTGAATAATTCTTTCTCTCAACAGAAAATATGAATATTATATAACGTAGCATAAAAAATGATATAAAAAAATATAATTATATTAACAGTTTCAGAGCCTTTTTGCTTTATAGTGTATTTCTTTCTGATATAGATAACTCGGAGTATCAGAAATATTATAATTATAGCGGTAACAACCCATTGTATCCTAAGTACAATGCAACGAATGTACTATCGTCATCAGCTGCGTCAGCTATCGCGAGTATTTCGACTTTCGTGTTAAATGCAAATAAAATAATGCAGTTGCGGAAAGAGGCTACAGTAGTTTGCAAGAATTTTACGAATTTCTCCAATTGTAAGAACCGCACCTGTTTGTTCAATATCTATGAGGATCCGTGTGAAACTACAGATCTCTTCATGAAATATCCAGAGGTAACATTAAATTAAAATTGAAAATAAATATATATTTACATATAGAGCGCATTTTATATTCTCAACTATTCAGGACGTAAAAATAGATTATAAATTACACATAAAATTGACATTTTAATGCATAAAAAAATTAATAATTTCTTCTTTTCAAATATGTATATATGAATGAATTCTAAAATCTCATATCTCTCTCTCTCTCTCTCCATTAATTATGCCCATAATATTGCATTAAGATATTGGCTATGAAATGAAGTATATGCTAATAAAAATGTACATCTACATCCACAATATCTATGATTTTACGATTGGAAGGAAAAAATGACTCGTGCAAATTATTTATTATTACGTGGACGTCGGTACTCATCCGGTAGAGATGAAATGGAAGCGATAGCGGAGATAATTCAAGAATTCATTTCGTTCCCCATTTGCAGGACGCGGAGAGATTGAACATGTTCATCGACCACTATAAATCGGTCCTCATGAACCAGACGAATGCACCCGTCGATCCGGCTGGCTTTCCGCGTAACTTTAACGACACTTGGATGCCCTGGTTGCCGGACGACTATCAGTCGATCAGCGAAATGCATTTCACGATGAATGAAGTCACGTCGTAACGACGCTTTATTCGTTTTGCATTATAAAGTGGTAAAGTGCTGATCATCTTGAAAATAGAGCAGAGAAAAAAAGATATATCAAAAAGATATAATAATCACGCTTAATTAATCGTATTCATTCATTATTATATTGTAAAAATAAATAACTAAGCCTGTATATAGTTTGTAGAATACCATTTTGATAAATTCAAATTTTGATCACTTAAATACGTTTAATGCAATTTTAATACGATTTAAATAAATAGAAAATAATCTCTATTTTTTATTAATAATAGAGGAAAATGCAAGTAATCGCTCGAAAAATCACTGCCACTTTGTACATACAGTGACTCAAAACTGCCGTATGAAAGATTAAACACAGATTCCTTGTTAAAAACAAAAATTCTCAAGAGAGAATCTTGAGATACAATTTTTAATTATTGTCAAAAATTAGTAAATATTTTCTTAAATTTAGAATAAATTAAATTTAGAATTTTAAAATGGGATTTACGTAAAGGTAAACAAAGACAATGTTTTTTATTATATATTTAAAAATGGTTGTTTTTAATTAATATCTCCGATTGTTTTGTGAACATGTTTGTGGTAGATCTAAATAAAGATTGTATTCTCAACGTTTCATATGCTAGTTGCGAATCACCCTATATATCTTTATTAACGGCGTAGCGGGTGTTGACCGTAGGGTGTAGGAGGGTGGCAAAAAGTTTATCGTTGGTGGGACAAAACTCTTCTTTTCACTGACGTTATTGTATAGAGATTATGCAGATGAGACGCCGTTGTCGTGCGCTGAGAAGGTTGATATCTATTTAATTACCGGTATCGTATTAATTAATCGTGTCTCATGCAAATAGACAATTTTGAACTTTCGCGACGTCCACTTTGACGATGAATCTATACCAAGTAATGTGAACTTTGCTACCTTATATTTCTATTACGAATTATTCTTTATATAACAATCGTTATTAATTTGTATTTTTAAATAACAATAATTCAAAATAAAAGCGCATAACAATTTTCTCTACAAAGACCTTCAGTTTAGACAGTTTAAATTATACTGAATAATTAATAGAGAGCAAGAAACGAAGAACACGTTTCTTAATTAATTTCATCGAATAGCGAGAATTATTGCGAGATGTCCAAAAAGACGAATAGTAAGTATAATCGGTCCTTCCTTATACGTGCATCCCTTTAGTTTACGGCACCGTCCATTTCTCATCTCGCGTTTAATATTTCGAAAACGGCCATTCTTGTTAAACATTCTTTACTGCCGTTCTTCCCAAGCCCGCAGCGCTTTCGAGCCAAGGGATGCCGGCTCGAAATTCTAATCTAGGACCAACAGCGAGGCCTTTTCTTTTGTTTCTTCTTTTATATTCCCGAGGCGCGGCTTTACGGCTCATTTAGCAATTCGCTTATTTACAGGCAAGAAATCGTAGGCGCGTATATACACGCGTACGTGTGGCTTTACGCTTTGTTTGTGCGTAATCACGAGAAGGGGATGGTATGACGACAAGGAGAAGAGCAAGAGGAACAAAAAGAAGCACAAGGGAGTGGATGAGAAATAGAGAGACAGTGGGTGACGGCAGGGAAGGTATCTTCACGTTCTACGATCGCAGAGGAAGGGTTTGGAGTTTAAGTCGCTTTTAATAGCGAAGCAGCTGTTGCCGGATCTGCTTGTTTCTTTTTTATGGTCGATGTCTTCTTCGGCGAATAATGCCGGGAAATAATCTAAAACGAAGGAACCGCCCCTTCTTCTCTTTCTCTCAATTTTCATCCTTTTTTTTCGCTAATAAAGCTATGCCTGCCTTTAACGCATTTATTCTTCATATACCAACGTCGTATCGTAATTCTTCGAGTCTTAATGATCAAAATATTATTGCAATTATTATTTTTCTATTTTTTATAATTTGTCAATTTTTATATGTGAAAATCGGAAGTGAAAATATAAGATAATGTATCTTATCAATTTACTTTTCACCATTAGTAGAGAGTGAATGTTCTTTCCCGAGAGAGAAACATGATTTCGCTCGCAAGAAAATATATATAAAGTATATCGTGATAAAATCAAGAAAAATAAAGAGAGAGGTTGAAGACTTGAGATCGCGGGAAGATAATTAGATAATGTTAATAACGGTAAAAATGGAACAGAATGGCGCGTTAAATTCTTACAGATCTAACTTTCGCGTGTTGCATTCACTTGTCCATTTGCTCGTTTCTTAAATTAACGAGATATAAACGCATTGCGCAAATCTCAAAGCAAGTATAAGTTAATGTTCCATTCATTCCGCAAACCGAGAGGTTTAAACAAAGAGATATTCCTACTTTTGTGTTTCATGTTATTGCATGCAAGGATCGCCTGTGGCGAGAAATGTCAGAATATGTACTTTTGCAATATCGCCAGTAATTACTTGATTGCATTTGTGTATTACATTTTCAAGGCTTGCAAAAGTGATCTATCACTTCTGTCACCTGTCAGTTAATTTTTGGTTTTTCTTAATCTTTAATTCTGAATAAGATTTAAATCAAGAAATGACATTTGCTATTTGTCGTGTGTTTGCATTAATTAACTTATTTTATAATTAGACAGAAAGAGGTATTAATATTTTTAAAAAAGTTAAAAAAATATATAGTCTATTTTAACCATATTTTTATATAACTATTTACTGTTTTCTAATTTTTATAATTATAATTGCAATTATATAATAAAATATATAACATCTTTCTTATGTATATTTGAATTTAATCCCGAAATAATAGATATATGTACATATATTTATCATCCAATCAATATGAAACTTGAAGTTTCTGTGGAGTGCATTTATTCCCATCTTCTCATCCTTAATCCTCTCAAATGAGTACTTAAATTTCTGTCATTTGTCATAATTTTTCTGCGAAAAATCAGACAATTTCTGATCGAGGCAAATCACATTTCATTGCCCTTTGCATCTGTACTAATATCGATAGCTTTATTAACTGGAGCATCCGCGATCTTCTTACGCGCCATGTGATATTTTCAGATTTATATCGCTGCGGGCAAAAACTCGCTTGTTAGGTTCCGCGTGCGAAGGAACGGTGGATATAAGTTCGAGCCGAAACTTAACGACGTAATGAACGTCTGACGGAGGATTATTTATTGACGGCAACGGGGCAGCGGAAGGGCCGGCCTAAGAAGAGCAGAAAGGAAGACGAACGATCGGCACCGTGGACAAAATTGGCGCGGTAATTAGCACGAGGCAAAGGACTTATGAGTTCTTCTAATTGATGCACTCGACGAATTTTCGTTTGCTAATTGCACGCCGTTGATTTGTCTGATCGAAAGAAAATGTGTATCTGAAGAGCAAAAGGCATAAGCTTCAAATTATGAATTTCTAAATTTATTTATATAATTGAGTAAAAATTAAATCATTCGTTAAAAGTTAACAAATGATTTTAATTATTATAAAACAATATATTTTTTTTCAAATAAAAATTGCTGAAAGAAAGTTTCAATTCTAAAAATGCAATATTAAAGAAGTCATGTCAAAGTTAAGTATAATGAATAAAAAAGCAGAAACAGAAAAGAGCAAAAGGCATAAGCTTAAATTATGAATTTCTAAATTTATTTATATAATTGAGTAAAAACTAAATCATTCGTTAAAAGTTAACAAATCATTTAATTATTATAAAACAATATATTTTTTTTCAAATAAAAATTGCTGAAAGAAAGTTTCAATTCTAAAAATGCAATATTAAAGAAGTCATGTCAAAGTTAAGTATAATGAATAAAAAAGCAGAAACAGAAAAGAGCAAAAGGCATAAGCTTAAATTATGAATTTCTAAATTTATTTATATAATTGAGTAAAAACTAAATCATTCGTTAAAAGTTAACAAATCATTTAATTAATATAAAACAATATATTTTTTTTCAAATAAAAATTGCTGAAAGAAAGTTTCAATTCTAAAAATGCAATATTAAAGAAGTCATGTCAAAGTAAAGTATAATGAATAAAAAAGCAGAAACAGAAAAGAGCAAAAGGCATAAGCTTCAAATTATGAATTTCTAAATTTATTTATATAATGGAGTAAAAATTAAATCATTCGTTAAAAGTTAACAAATGATTTTTAATTATTATAAAACAATATATTTTTTTTCAAATAAAATTTGCTGAAAGAAAGTTTCAATTCTAAAAATGCAATATTAAAGAAGTCATGTCAAAGTTAAGTATAATGAATAAAAAAGCAGAAACAGAAAAGAGCAAAAGGCATAAGCTTCAAATTATGAATTTCTAAATTTATTTATATAATTGAGTAAAAATTAAATCATTCGTTAAAAGTTAACAAATGATTTAATTATTATAAAACAACACATTTTTTTCAAATAAAATTTGCTGAAAGAAAGTTTCAATTCTAAAAATGCAATATTAAAGAAGTCATGTCAAAGTTAAGTATAATGAATAAAAAAGCAGAAACAGAAAAGAGCAAAAGGCATAAGCTTCAAATTATGAATTTCTAAATTTATTTATATAATTGAAAAAATTAAATCATTCGTTAAAAGTTAACAAATGATTTAATTATTATAAAACAACACATTTTTTTCAAATAAAATTTGCTGAAAGAAAGTTTCAATTCTAAAAATGCAATATTAAAGAAGTCATGTCAAAGTTAAGTATAATGAATAAAAAAGCAGAAACAGAAAAGGGGAGAAACTTAACACACATACTATTTTTTATAATACTATTTTTTTCTGTATGGAAGTATTCGAAATCGATACTCGAATTCCATTGATGAATCGAAGTAAGATAGCACCAATCTTTGAACGGTAAAGGCAAGAATAAATTGTTTTGGCTCCGCCTTGTAGTAAAACAAATGATCACAAAGATACCGCCTGCTCGTTAAAATTATTCTCGCAAAGGTGGTCTTGGCTTTCCTCTTTTTTTAAAATATTCCTCGTTATGCGAGGTGTATAATTTTCGGTAGAACCGAACTCTAGGAAAGCGTAGTGTGTTGAAATTAATTAGTGATTGAAAAACACAAATAATTTGTGTGTCGATAAATTAAATCTTTTTGTTGTGTATATGAGATTCTCATGGAAATAATATTTCCAACTAGATAAATTAAAAATTCATGAAATATTTTATCTCCCTTGCAATTCTTCTTTTCACACGTGTAATTTTTTGATCAATGAAAACTTAAAGTCAATAATAAATCTTTATATATCTTTAATAAATTAAAATCTTAATCATTTCGTATATATCAAAAGTATATATTTGTTAAATAACAATCTATCTCGATTTCATTGATATATAAAGTGCAAAGCATAAGGGAGATTTTCCACATTTGTTTATCACGAACGAAAAGAAAAATAGTATTCGGGAGGGATCAACGATAATAATTGCTTTTCCTGTTCTTTCGGCGGCATCCCCGTGTCGATCACCGGACTCCTCGTATATCGAGGAAAGAGAAGACTCAAGTAGGAGGTAAAGTGGAGGAAGTGAAGTGGAGTAGGAGGACTCCACCACCACCACCGGCTGGCAAATCCTGCGGGACTGCTCCGACGGACACCTGTAAGCACGCAGACTCCCTGCCGAGCCGGACGCACGAGAAAGTTTGCCGAAATCGTCGCAGATCCTGAAGGATCCTCAGACGTTGTCGATGCGTTTTTCACTCGCGATTCTAACGAAAGTGATGCCTGATATCTGTGTGCGTGTTTTGCGTGCGGCCTCTCGCCTTATGGTCTTTTAATTTGCTGTCAATCGAGTCGTTCGAAAAGTCTCTGAAGATGATTTCATTGATCAGTGAAATGTTACTAAGGATTTGTTAGATATTAAAATCGTGAATCATTTAATACATAGTTCGAGCGCGGGAATTAATATTTTTTTTTACTTTGGAAAAGTGCATTAAATTATGATTAATCATAATTTCATCGGTAAATAAATTTAAAATTCGGTATAAGAATATTTTAATTAAATTAAAAATATATATCATTCACAAACCAATAGAAAACTTTAATTTACAGCGAAAATTCTTTAAATAATATTTGCCAAATGTCACTGTGTTCAGCGTAATAATATTTGAAAGATATTATAACAACAATAAAATCAGATAATCAGATTCGATCTATTGTTTTATTATGAAATTATTTTGCAAAAATTAATTTAGTTAATAATCAAATGCGATGCTAAATACATAAAGCTATTGTTATATACAGGCTCAACGATCACAACAAGGATGCTATGAAGGAAATAAAAAAAGAAACTTTTCTATATGTATTAAAGACAGTTCTTGAAATCATCTTGCTTTCACAAAGAAAAAAAAATATCGCGACTTTTTTAATAGCGACAAATTAAAAGATGAACGCGATGAAGAGATCTCAAATCTTCGCGAAGCGATTCGTGCAACATCGAGGGATGGCTGGCGATCTTTGAAGACGCGGATAAAATCGTCTTCGCAGCATACCTGGACGATGTTAATCTTTTAGAATGCTAAACGGGGAAAAATGCGGATAAAAAAACTAAGCGGTGCTAAAGTCTGGCTTTTGCTGCTCGTGTTGGTGGTTCAAGATGGCAGATGTATAAAATGGCTGTGAGTACTGATTTATCTTGTATATACTTATATATTATTATATAAATATATTATTCAATTTTTGTATTTTTTGTGTATTTCGCGGAGTGCCGACATAATTCATCTTATAATAAATTAGAATGTCTCGACATTCACGAACTCCGAAATGTCAATCGGATTAGCGCAACTGAAATGGGGGAAACTCATCTTATTATGTAAGAATAATCTCCAATTAATTTTTAAAATAAAAATAATCACCGCGCATTGATTAAATATTAATATCGAATCCAGATTTATGATCATTTTTTATAGCAATTTAATTTTCTCCGTTGCACAAAAGTCGAAATCTAAATTTTAATAATAAAATTTGATTATTTTATTTTCCTCAATAATATAAAAATAGACATTAATTTTATAGTGTTTTCATGTAAAATATAGATAATCAATGTTATTTAAATATATATTGTTAAAAATATATAAAATTGTGTGGGAGTTCATGACTTTTGCTACGTAAAAAATTAATCAAGAAGAAATAAATATTGAATCATATAATTATAGTAGCAGACCGCAATAATATATATATGCATAATCGTATGTAAACGCTCTTCAATCGTTGAATCAAGCACAGATATCTGAGAAGTCTCTATATGATCAGCGAACCCTCGTAATAACGAGTTCCATTTGCGCTCTCACGTTCGCTCGCGGTGGCTCCGAACGAGTTCGAAGATTAATGTAGGTCCGTTAATGAGAAACAAATAGATTAGTGGCCGAGGGAAACGCTTGAGAGCGCGAACCGGAGACGTAGCCTCCTACTCTCGATCTTGATCATTATTTTCCTTGGATCAAGGAGATCGGACCATGGCGAGATTTAGAAGCGATCGACATAAATTTCGCACTCGAATAAGGAATAAAGATATCGTTGGTGCCGATGAAAGCGGCACCAACGATACAAATAAACAGCGTTCGTAATTCCGGCCAATATGTTTTTCATCAAAAGGGGATGATTGCCAGTGTCAGTTTTCGAGATAACTCGCATCCACTTTATCGCGCTCTTATTTTTTAAACCAGCCGTTTTTAATTATATATCATCAGCGATAGTAGAGTTATTAATTTCTTATCATGATTGTGTGTTAGTACAAAAATTGTCTTTTTTAATCATTTTATCAATGAGCTTCTCTTTATGTTTCTCTCCGCCTCTTTCCAGTTGTTTCTAATATTACTTTAGTCTTTAACAGCTTCGGGAATCTTTAGACCAATTTTTAGATTCGAACTGTCATTTATGATGAACAAAGTAATTATGCATAAAGATTGGAAAAAGTATGTTTAAATAATTAGAGCGAAGAATTATTAGACCGCAAAAATACTTTTATGAAAAACAGTGTGTGTTATTTGTCTTTTTAAAATGTTTCCTCCTACTTAAGATTGTTTCGCAAGTCATTTCTCATCGCTTTCTGATTTCTATCAATCATTCCTATACGTCGAGGATAATTCCTTTCATCTGAAATGATGCACGAAGATGTCTCGTTAACATTTAAGACTGATGTAGAGCCGATTGTCGATTAACCTTCTTTTTCGAGGGTTTCTCGACCTCTGGATATGCTTTAATTGCTGTGCGAGATTTGTGGCGAATTTCATTGTCTGCGAAGGAGGGCGCGAAATAAAGGCTAAAGGGGAAGAAAGCGGAAAAAGCGGAAACAGAGAGAAGGTTGAGCGGCGTTAGATGATGAATGGCGGAGTGATGGTGCTTTTGCGTGCAAAACTGAAAGTACGAGGGAATACGACGGGCGGAGAGGGAAAATCGTAAGGAAGATGATCGGGGAGCGGCACGAGGATCGCCGGGGGTGGAAGATTAGGGGTTGCCTACAAATCATGATTTATAAGCGCCGTTTTCCAAGAACTCGCCCCAGGAACGAGGCCCTACGCAGGTCTTCTCGCGATTCATTTGTTTATAATTATTGCGGCCGACATTGACGGATAATTTTGAAGGGTGATTCGAATTCTCGGTTTTCCTGCCCTATTGGGGCGAACAACCATCGATCCTGCGTTGTCTTAAGACCTATAGCAATACCTAGGTTGGACGATGATCTTTCTATATTAAGGAGTGTCGCAGAGTTCATTTGGAAATAATAGAATTTAAACGAAGAGTAGGATATAAAATGTGTGTGTGTGTGACACTTGTGTTTCGAAAGTATAAAACAATTGTTTTTCAGCAATGAAAAATTAAGGAGGCTTATAGAGACGAAGAGATAAAAATTTAGGAATATATATAATAGAATTTTATTTCTTATGAACATTTTCATCCTTCTATCTCAACGTCATTTTTTAAATACAGTTTTCTAATATTCTCTCGATTGAAAAAAATAGTAATCTATCCTGGACTGCGTCGATAGATCTATTAATCATCGTCTGAAAGATCGAAGATCGTTGCTCATGACTTCGAGACGACGTTGCGAATATAACATTCTTTCTGAGAGCAATCTGCGGCTCTTTCAACGTGATCACGTGGATATCTTCGTAGAATCGAGGCCAAGGATCGATTTATAATAATTTACTTGCAACGCCCGCAACAAACGCCCGAAGGGTCACGCTGAATCACACGCGAGTTGCTATTTATAAGATCATTCTTGACAAGGCGATCTCTACAATGCATCGCTCGTAAATCACGCATTCTTACTTAACGCGAGTCGGAGAGCAGCGGTATTATATCGCTGCAGCGTTGAACTCGCGTCCTACGCAAGGATTCGAGATTCTAACTCGCTCGTCTCGTTAATTTGTCATTCGAGGAACACCAACGTCGAAGGGATTATATAAACAAATTGACGTTAATTGCGAAACAAGTCGCGTTAATCAATGAAGCACGACTCCGCACGAGATTTGTTAAGAATAAAATCAAAATCGTTGATAAGATTCGTGGGCAGATAATTAAGATGTAATTCAATTTTGAGATGTCGTCTCTCGAAATTTGTATTATTATAAATTCGTCATACATTCCTCCTCCTTTTTAAATTAATATTTAATATACGCGAATCGATTATATCCGATCGTTTTGGATAATCGAACCGATTTTATTTCCTCTCTCGTCTTTGCAGATATATATGCCTTTGTGAACCTTCTCTTTTCAATCTCTCCGATCGGACAAACTCGTAGGCGCCCGCCTATTATTGGTCTCGTAAAAACTAAGGTTTATGATTCTTCCAGTCAAAATGAATTTCGAAAGTGCAGCTGGTCCAACCGCTGTTTCGAAATATATATTGCAATCTCTCTTTTTTTTTCGAACAAACTGCTGTGCATTTTCATAAGAATGTTTGCCACAAATGTCCGTGAACTTCCTTCTGTCGCGAGATTCTCGCGCGTAAAACGAAATGGTCAACGGTATACAAATCAAATTATGTAAAATGGTAACATGCGCGATAACATTACTATTTTCCTGGATAATAGTGATCATTTAAATGGAAATTCTATATGGGAGATCATTTCGTATCCAGTTTCCTTTACACGTTACAATAAGGATAACGCGCGTTTTACGTTAAAAGAATTATTTCGTAGGAATAATATATGAACGATATATTCCAACTGGAACAATTTAAGAAAAAAAATCAAGTAGGAGCAGGAAAAAATAAAATGTATTCTTCAGCGTAACGGAACATTTTTTGCGAAAGAAAGTGAATGTTTCTATCGTCGAATCCTTTTGAAATTCCGTGAGAAGCGAAACGAAAGGCGTATATATAGCTTCGATTGATGCTCGTCAGTAGCATTATACTCAGCATCCCGCAGGGCGAGATGTACGTCAAAAGAGTAAGAAGGAAACATTATAGAGCTACCCATAACGAAGGTGGTTATTGAACAATGAAAACGCGATCACGAAATGGCGAGATAAGTTGGCCGTGCGTGGTATTCATTGTATTTTGTAAATTATTAGCTGCATTACAATGGACAATTATCATATTGCCAAGTACTCCGTAAATCACTTTGCCTGTTTCTATATATATCGTTGCCATTTCACATTCCCATCGAGATCTACATAGATCTTTCTCTAACGAGCTTCGGTTTATTATCCTAAGATATCTATCTTCGATGAATTATTCATATCTTATATGGAGCGCACTTATTTTATTTCAATATTACTTTATTCACTAATCAATCAAACAGGACGATTGATCTAATATTGCAAAATTCTAATGTTATTCTAATAATGTTATTTATGTTATTACGATGTTAATTATTACGATTTGCACAGTCCTCGAAATTAATCAGAAGTAAACTATTGCTTTCGCATCGTGATTGGTTCGTATTGCTGCTAATAATTAATTATCCGACACGCGATAGCAAGTAGTCGCACATTTGTCTTGAGAGAGCGACTCATAAATTACTTTACGCGCAAAGCTGCGGGCTGAGCAATACATAAGGCTGCTGAAAATTCTACTTACAATTAGTTATACAAGTAGCCTGTTCTGTATTTTATTGTATGCAAGTAACTGTACATCGCAAGTGCTTATTAAATCATATATTTTACGTTTGATACTTTGTTTTTCCAGCTAAAAGACGATTTATCTTGTCAACTTTCAAAATTACCTACCAGTTAAATCTATGATCTAAAAAGAATATGCCAGGAGTCTAAGAATGTTCGCGATAAAGATTCTCATATCGGATGTCAACTAAATTGTAATACTATTAATCAAAAGATTAAAAAATAAGTAGATATAGAGTATATGTTTTCTTACTGATTGCATGGTCTTAGAACAAAAAATCTAAATATAAATACTATAAAAAAAATAGTTTAAAAGTGCAATATTATCGATATCGTTCAATTATATTTAGTTTTATGCTGATCTCATACAAGATATTTATCATATGCCAGGATTTGACGTATTTTGTTAGTTACGTTAAATGTTGCATGATATGAAATACATAACAATGCGGAACTAATTCGAATATGTGTGATATATCGATTATACTTTTGGCATATTGATACGATTTATTATGATTGTCGATATGATAAATGTTAGATAATGTCTAATATACAACACGTTGTAATTGCTAATAGAAATCGATAAATCAAGCATTAAAAATGTTGCCGTCAAATGTGAAGAATGATTTTTCAACAAACATTTAAAAAATAATAATAAATAATTTTCTAAATATATATAAATAAAACAATAATAATTTTCGAAAACTAGACCTCTTTGTTATATATTAAAACATATATCGCCTAAAATGTGTTTAAAATCATAATTAGAATCTAGACGAAAATATCTGGTTACGCTTTCTAATTTTCAAGTAATTATCTTCTGAGAGCCGTCGCTTATCATTATTTTGTTATTACTTCCGACAAGAAGATCAAAATGCTGTTGTTAGAAAGCATGCTCTAACCAGCATGATTAATCATAAAAATATGATTAACCATAAAAAAATGTATATACATTTTTATGGTTAGTTTAATATTTAATTATTGCATATACATGTATATAATGCAATAATTATATAATTTTACTAGTAACAAATTTGTCTTCAAATCCAGCCATTTTCGAACGCGTTATAATAAAATATTAATACAAATTAAAATATTAAAGTAATTGTTACCTGTCGACATACACTGTTTAAGATAAAAATTTCTACATAATTATACGTTTTATTAAAAATGTGTTAATCAAAAAAATTACAAAGATTATCTTCTATTTCTTCTTTTTCTTTGCGAATCTTTTGTATACGAATATTTGTCTTTTCTTAAAAAATTATATGATTGTATTAGAATTATATTCATGCTTAAATAGTCTAAATAATATTTATTTATAGAAGGAAAATATAATGGAAAAAATAAATTATAATTCACATTGGTGGTCAAATCTATTCACATATAGCTCACTCAATTAAATTTAATTTTTTTATATTTGCTGGATTTAATTTTTTTTGCTTTTATTTATAATTAAGATAAAGTCGATAATTAATCCTCAATAAATTACAATATGAAATACAGCATGCTATATTTATTATTTTGTCAACGAATTAAGATCCTAAGTAAGATCCTCATTAATACATATCGGATTGTCAAAATAATCAATTTGGCGTTTTAATAAACTGATAATTTGGATCGAATATTTATGGTCGTAAAAATTCTTAGATTGTTTTCACTCTTTTTTTTCAATGTGCAAAAGATTCGAAACGCGCACTCGAGAATTGCGAAGCTTTCGCGCCCTTCATGCATACGGCTTTAATGAGCCGTACATGCGAAGAATGCACGCGCGGTATGCTCGTGTAGAGACATATAATCTTTTACTGCTATTCTTATAAAATATTTCTCGTTTTTTGCCGAGCATTATGCACTTTGTCGCGCGGTGTTGAACATCATGTAAAAGCAGTGAAAATATTTATTTCAGAGTAAACTCGATATTATACAAAATAAATGGTGATATAGGATACAAATGTAAAAATATATCAGAAATGAAAAATTGCATTTGTTATTAATGAGAAGACAAAAGAGAAAAAAATAAACTCTCTTCCCAGAAAGTTTAATGACATTTAGGCGAATGTTATATATATATATTTTATGCATAACGTATCGCGTTCTCTCTCGTGTGGGTTGTACGGTAATGGTGAATGCATATACTCGCGAGCACTTACGTGTAAATTAGGTTCCTGAATCGAGTGCGCGGCAAATCCTGAAATATCATCGGGAAAAAAGGAGCAAGCAGTCGGCCAGCATCAACGCGGCGGCGACAATGACGATGGTATAATAATGAATTAGAGTCGCGGGCTTTTGATAGGGTAATTTCAAGGGTAGGCTCCGTGACACGGGGTTGGCAATCCGGCCATTCCCAGGGTTGTTACGTCTAGACGCGACCGCGTGCACGGGTCATTTCGACTTTCAGGTGTCCGTAATTATTATCCCTCGTGTGCGCTCTCGCGCGTTGCGAGCCGAGGTTTTAGAGCCGCGCGGCATTCAACCCGCGGCGCTTAAAGGCGAGCCCTTTTCAGCCTCGCGCCCTATAATTTTCAAAATTCACCCCCTGATTTACGGCACGACGCGGGTCGTACCAAGGACCGGAGAGGTGGATCGCTCACGGCTGTCGGCCTTTCGACGATCGTCCCGTCCGACAGAGTCGTACATGCCGAATGTTTCACCCCGAATTCTACGATCGCGTGTTCCGAAATGTTAAAGGCAAGGGAGAAATGAGTTCCCTCATGCTAGAACTTATTTAGAGCGGCTATTGTTGAGTTCTTCAATCGCGGATCTTTATTGCAAGATATTTGTAAGAAGAATCTTTAATCATTTTATTCAAGACATCTTTAATAAATATCTCTAATAATAAATTTATTAAAGACGCATTTTTAATAAATATATCTTTATTTCAAATTTAAAAGTTGATATCAATGAGATATTTCCTCAATATATATACGCGCTTGGAATTGAATATATTTAAATTCAATTTTATGAATGCGATCATATCAATTATTTTTCTGAATTATATAGCTGTATATTTAAAGGGATAAAATTGTATTGTGTTTAGCGGCCTCGGTCGCACCGGCGACACGCTGGATACGTGGTCCAAAGAGGCGTGCACCAGCGCGAAGAGCGCGGGTCTGCTGGAAAGGAAGCAAGCAAAAGCCTGCAGAGCTACACCGGATGTGATGCCCAGTTTAGTGCAAGCCGCCAAAGACACGTCTATAGTATGCCAACACGCATTCCGACATCGCAGATGGAATTGTAGCAGCATCGAACGCGCGCCTAACTACACCCCCGAATTGCTTACAGGTTTGTATCTATCAAAATCTATCTTTACACAAGTTTTAATTCAAGATATTACGAAATGACCATTCATTCATAAAAATTATAATAACTAAAAAAATTATAATTGCGAAAAATCTGTTATATGTATCCTGAAGAATAACTTCTGCTGAATCTATTATATAAAAAATCTAACAAAAGAAACAAGTTGGATTTTAGATTTTTCTCCTTCTTAAAAGCTATAGCAATTTTGAAGTTAACGTATTAAAAAATTTAAATAATTAAAAAAGAAACGTCGTAAAAATCTTTTAATATTGCTCGTCACATTGACATCTTTTATGTCAATATAGAATGTAAAGAATATTATTATACACTAGACTATGTAGGCGTATTATTATGCATCAATATTTCGTATAATAAATTTATAATCAGTGATTTTGCGGAACAGAGAGATGCGAAAGTCGATGAAAATTCTATGGAAACGTATCGAATATCCTTTGAGAGATTTCCAACGTAAATAGGAAGCGCCTGGCAGGCGCGCCTCAATTAGCGATCATTAACAAACCGTAGCTTCCCTCGGTTTTCATCCTCTTGCCTCGTGACCGGCCTCCGTCAGATTAATCGCTCGCGTTTCACGATGAGTATATTGTAAATAAAAGTGTGCCCGGAGAGATATCGAGATATCTTCCGTTAATGAGAAAACCGAGAAGCGCCAATGAAAGATATATCACGACCACGCAAACGTAATGTTCATCGTTGTATTTTTCATTTCCGACAGTACGATAATCGGCTTTTCTTCAATCATCTCAATTGACGAAGGAAAGACCACAAATGTAATTTTTAATTTCAGAATATTATGATTTGTTCGACACTGTCATAATGATATATTAAATGTGATCCGGATTGCAATTATAAATTAATTATAAATTAATGGTCGAAATTTAAATTTGAAAATTATATTGCACTGATCATTATTTTTATGATACGTGATGTTGATTTATAATAAATACGGTCAAATATATGTATCAAAAATATTTTTCACATTTCTTCCCCTTTACTGAAAGTTTAGTATTCATGTAATCTATAATATAAATAATGATATAAATGTATAATTTTATCTTCTTGCAAGGAGTGCACCAGTTTATCGGCGCATTAGCTAGAAAAAAACTGATCATTTCCTGGCGTCTTTATTTTCGCGTGAATTTCTTACAGGAACGAGAGAGCAAGCCTTTGTCTATGCAATGTCGGCCGCTGCTGCAGTTTGGCGACTTGCACGAGGATGCGCTTTAGGGAGTCTCGCGGCTTGTTCCTGCGCGACTCCGCCGCGAAGAGAGCCGCCTTCACCTTCGGCGCTTATCTCATCCTCGTCTTTCACTACCATGTCCGTCTCTTTCGACACGTTGTCTGTGAGGAACTCTTTTAAATGGGGTGGTTGCGGAGACGACGTGAGATCCGCCTCGAGGATGGCAAAGCGGTTTCTTCAGGGCGCGACGCCGCTCGGTATCGGAGCAACTGCCAAGTTCATGCACGCTGTCAATATGCATAACAACAGGGCAGGTCGAAGGGTGAGTGTTTGACGGAAGGAAAAAAAAATATATGTATAAAGAGAGAAAGAATAGTTTTTTCTCCTCAAAAATTCTCAAAATTATATCAATAAAATATCTTGAGAAAAAAATACCTGTAAGTCGAAAATAAAATTCGTCGAAGAATAAGATTTCTTGATATTCTTCTCTAAATAAAATAGAAAATATTGTAATAAAATCGTGATTTCAAATGATTGCTATTCTTAATTAGGCTTGATTCCTCGAAAGAGCAACTGATAATTTAATGCTTCCCACTTATGACAGGCGGTCGAGCAATCCTTGACTCTGGAGTGCAAGTGCCACGGGGTGTCGGGATCCTGCAGCGTGCGTACCTGCTGGCGCGGTCTGGGCGCATCGGGACCATCCGCCGCCGGAAGTCGTTTGCTTCGCAGATACGCTACCGCTGCTGAAGTCAGACCGAGATCCGGCGGCAGACTACCGCCATTATATCATCACGACAATCTACTGTACACCACCAAGAGTCCGGACTACTGTCTGCCGGATAAGAAGAGGGGTAGTCTCGGCACGATCGGCAGGTTAGACGGGTTATTTATTTCATGTAATGTATAAGTTGTATCTGATCATGTATAGTGTTAATAATTATATAGGAGAAATCTCATCGAAAGATGATATCTAAGTAGCTCTCTGAGATTTTTTCAAGATATCAAAAGATGCATGAAAGAATATCGAAGATAGTTATAACGTATCTGAATATATTTAAGATAATAATTTCTTAATTTTTTATCCAGCTTATCATCAAATAGGAAATAGGAAAGATAATTGTGTATATTGTCTGGAAATTCCGTGTAATAGAGATACTATCCTCTTTAAAACGATTAACTTTTCAAAATAGAACTCGTTAGAGTTCATAAATCGGTTATTGGCTCGTTAAAAATATTTAGTCTACTTGTGACTTCGTAAGCGCACTATAAATTTTAATGTCTTTCGATATGACCGTGGTATCGCGTAAAAGGACTCGAATTTCGCAATTTAACGATTGATTGATAACATAAAGAAAAGAGGGATATTTAACAAAATTCTATCGCATGAAATCATTTTTTCTTTCGTTCATTAATGAAAGAAAAAGCAAAATAAATTCATTTCTCATGCCACCGATTATAATAATTAATCATGCGTCATTAATATTGTGCTGTATTATGTACATCATGAAAAACTATTCGTTAAGAAATATAAATCTTTGATGTACATAACGATGTTAAAAATAAAAATTATTTTCTCTTAAAATAGCTAAATACGAATAAGCTGTCAAACTTTTGAAAGCTTCAGTAATTGATGAAGAGTACGCATCAGAAGAATCTAACATTAATGTTAATGCTGTGAAGATCTTTCTCTTGCTCTTTCTCGTTTCTCATTAAAAAAAGCGCGAACGAAGGTAGATAAAAAAGAGGTATGCCTTGATGCTACCAAAGTGAAGGGCAGGCATGAAGGAAGATATGAAGACTGCAGCCGATCCACTTTTTTCGGTAGCCGCGGGCTAGAGATCCTCCTTCCTTTCTCGGCCGTTGTAGTCATTTTTGCGATAGGTCATTAACTTCTCTCGAAAACACCTTTGAGTAGCAGAAGGCAATGAGTCTAATTATAGCCTTCGGTAATGCATTTTCAATGTGTTTGATCGAACGGTAAAGAATATTAAAGTATTAAAATACTCTATATGATTTTTCTTACGAAATTTCGTTAATGCTTTGGTTTGCGAAAAGGCACCATCGCTGATAAGCGAGCTCGTGTGATTTTATCGCATGCACTTTCCTAGCTTGTAATCCGGGTTATGAGCTGACCGTGTATAAAAGTGCGACGAAAGACCATTAGCACCGCCATAACGCGACTCTTATGAGGTATCCGGTCACTGCTGTGACTCGCGGTTTCTTTTTTTAGCTTATATACCCATCTTTTGCAATCGAAGTATTCTAACAATCATTATTTAAAATAATATTTTCAATTAAAACATTTCTTGAAACATCATTTTACTCGCTAGAGAAGCCTCCTCGAGTTATTTCTATAAAAAATGTTACGATAATTAATTTTATTTTAGCCTCTCCATTCTTTCTATTATATTAATATTCTTTGCTTTAAATATAAAACGCGAACCATATAAAAATTGTTTTAATCTACCTAATCGAAAATTGTTCCAATTTAAAAAAAAAATGATTCAAATAAAATAAGAGCTTCTGATATAAAATATACGACAATTAAGAATGCTGTAAACGATGCAAATTTTCTTTTCTCTTGTTAAAAATGTATTTATTTCAAGTTTAAAAGTAGATTTTAAATCGTGTTGTATCAATTGAAAGTTCGAGTCGGTATCACATACAGATACTAACAAGATATTTCGTCTATTCTATTCATTCCTTACCGTCTCCGGGAGACCTAAAATTCTTAGCCTCACGCAAACGAATTTCTCCACTTCGATCTTAGTTCTCTTCTCCATTAGTTAGAGTCAGACTTATTTATGTGAACGCGTCGTAATTACGCACGAGGGAAGACGTCTCAGAGATAGGGCGTCCTATCATCTCTATGATGACGATGCTATAGGTCCGAACCTGTTTTCGAAATCGAATGAATACGCCTAACGTTTTACGATGCCGAATACCGTTACGACTGTCCATTCACAGTTTCGTTTCCGGTTTTTTACGAATGGTGCTAACATTAATTTTCGCTACGTGTCGTTTCGCAAGCTAGCGCTACTGTTCGAAGAGTGCTTTTAACGACGGTACTTTACGACCTCTTGAAAAACTGTTGTGCTGCAGAGTAGGGTTTCCCTAACACATCATCCTTTAGTCATGGATTATTTACGTTAAATTGGATATCAAATCGTAAATATCATTTAATATATTTTTTAATATTTATTATTTAAGTACTATGTATATACTCTACTGTAAAATTATATAAAATGTTCCTAAACAAGATTATCACATGTAGAAGTCTGTTTGAGTATAATCATGCATAAGGAATATTTGCTAATTCATCATAATCATGAAAGAAAGATGCAAGTCGTATCCGGTCTCTAGCAAGAAGAGCGGTTTTTTTGCAATATACGATGATTGCATTTGCTACGGATTTTCCGCCAACGTAGAAGATGGATCTTCGTCCCAAATTATCTACGCTTTGTTCCGCGTGAATTAAGATCACCCACGGCATTCCAAGAATGATGACTGGTTCTGTAAGGCACAGGAAACACCGGATGCGTGCACCTCTTTGTCTCGTTTCACTCGACCCATAAATTTCTTATTATTTGTGCCTTACACGAAAAACGAAAGAATGTTAATATAAATTACATATCGAATCACGGTATTTTCCTGCTCTAATGATGACTATAATGACTCATATTATATTATATATTTAATTCTAATTATCATTATTCCATTTATATGTATAAAGAACGTGATTTTTATATTATAAAAAGGTAAGACAAAAAATTTTGTATGTATATAGTCCTATAAATAAAATCATCAAGTACTTGTATCTCCTGATTTTAAATAAAGTGTGTTACATGTTAAAAGATAAAAATTGAAGAAAGTAAAAATTGGATTCAATTAAAATAATCTTTTACTTTTGACGATAATTTTATGGGAAATGAAATAACATATCCTTTAGACTTCATATAATTTCATATTATTTTTATGTGATTCTATAAGTGTTCAGTTAAGTTATTTGATTTATTAATGAATCAATACTTTAATTAATGTCAACTCTCTATTCCTTTGAGTGGTCAATATATCTTATCGTTAGCCTATCTAAACCCGGATATTAGTTTTCATAAACGCGATTTCACATATTAATTTTATGATAAGATTTATCAGCAATACGGACCATTGCGCACTTCCATGATGTGCAAAAAGTTTCTCTCATTCTTAAAAGACATACAAAACGAAATCCGATAATTTTCGAGTTGATTCGTGAGCTAAGCTAATCTGACTCGTTTTTGTTTCGCCGATATTTCATTCGCTATAACTAATATTTAATGTCAGGTTCTTTGGGCACAACTGACTCGCCTCGCCGGTTTACAGCTTACAACCCAATAATTATAAGCCCGCGTATAATTATACAAAATAGGCGTGGCGAATATTTATCACGTGAGACGCCTTCGATCGTTCCATGTACGACGAAAGAGATTTTTCGAGATTCTTTTTTCTTAACACCACATCCGCGTAATCTACACAGGTAGTCTCGTCTGCGTAAAGCGAACATCTTTACATTTTACAGCATATCAGGCTGACATCATGCGAATCGATTAATAACAAATTCCGAGAAATTTTAATGAAGTAACCTGAGGCAATTTCAATTATTAAAATTATATAGTTCTCTTTTCTCATCAGCGGATTATTATAAATAATTTTTAAAAAACTATTACGAATTATAGAATGAATAATCTATACTACTTCTAATTCGTTCATGTAATATCCAGTAAATCCAATTATAATAATAAATAATTGTGCAGATAATAAAAAAAATAATTTTTTTACTGCTATACTGAAAAGTAATTTAAACAAGATCTTATTTTACATATATTTTACTACGAACTTTTTTTTAGTTTGTGTACATATAGTCTATTCTAAATTTTTTTAGATCCTTTTATATTAATTAGAATGAAAAAGTGTAATATATCGAAAATTCAAGATAAAAAATGTGACAATACACAGAGAGAATTTTCTCTTAGAATTTACCATGAAAATCATGATAATCGTGGGACAATATGATATTGGAAGAATTTTATATGAAAGAATTTTATTTCTCTGATTAAAATATTCACCACAATAAAAATACCGCAATAAGATATAAAATATATTCGATTAATTTTACTATGTACATAGTAAAATTTAGTATGTACATATTAATATTTTTTATTGTGATATATTAATCAGAGAAAACTCTTATAAAATTTTTGCAATACTATATGTATGTATATTGTCCTATACGATTACTATGATTTTCAGGGTAAATTCTAAGAGAAAATTTTCTTCGTGTATGAATATCACACGTATATAATAATAAAATTATTACTTTTCAGATTTTACCTTTCCGTATAACATCAGGTTATTCTGTATTATTTTTTAAATTTAATTTATATTATATTAATTAATGTTGTTTTATATAAAATTGTATATTTGACTGATTCATAATTTACCATTAAAAAATTCTAGAAAATTAGTAATTTAGAAATTAATATTCCTGTAAATAACAATTATAATAAATAAGAAAAAATTTCACAGATACTGTAATGGCAGCAGTTTCGGTTACGAGGGTTGCGAATATCTTTGTTGTGGACGCAGTTACGTTACCAGGACCGAGAACATCGTGGAGAGATGCAACTGCAGGTACATCGATTGCTGTTACGTGAGCTGCAAGACGTGCAGGAAGATCGTAACAACATACGAGTGTAATTAAAAATACGACGTGGCTTTGGGACAATTAGTATTTATATGTATCTATGAGCGGGATAAATACAGCCTCTCTTAATCCGCTCGAAGAAGCAGGAAGCGTCGAAGGGTTGAGGACAGAATTAGATTTACGTGCGCGCGCGTGTCGCAAGTAACGATCCATTCGATTTATAAATTCTATAAATTAAGACCAAATAAATTCTACGAGATGCGCGAGGATGTGAAAGTTGCATTTCAAGTGAAGATTTGCGCATTCGGCGGCGAGTGAAAACCTGATCTCGCGCGCAAATACGAAAAATACGGCACTAATAAATAATTATTTAGGCGATAAATTATTTATCGTGAATGTATAACTCATGGCAGTAATAGAGGAGTTATTTATACCATATATTGCTATATTTGCTATTTATTCAATGTATGTGCGTGTGCGTGCGTATGTATGTGTGCATGTATGTATATCATGGCAATCCGCACCGCGAATGATGATAATTCGTTTTGCCTCTCGATAATCGCGGAATTTTATGTAAATTACGTCGCGAAGAAATCGTCGTCGTTGTCAACATTTCTCGTGACTTTAAGCGTAGATCAGAGCAATGTACATAGAATGCTCGATTTCAATGTAACCTACATTCTGCAATATACCTTGCTTGGAAATGGCATATTGGCATATCAATTTTATTCATTTCCTGCTAAGCAAAAATCATAACTCGTACAAAGGAATTTACAATTCGACGTTGCTTAATTAGATATGCAACATTCAATTTTCATAGTGGAAATTTTTATGCTAGAATACATATAAATGAGTCACCAAATGAGTCACGAATACTCAGAGCTCGAGTTTATCGCTAGAAAAAATTTTATATAAAATATTTTTCAATATTAATTCCCTAGTTAATAAATTTTTCCATTTTTGTATGTACGATATGATTATCAAGAAAAATAGTTGTCGATTAGATGGAATAATAAAACCACGCTTTATATCGTATTTTATTGAACATATAACGATATAGTAGTAAGTATTGACTGATTACTGTATTTCTTTTCTTTAATGATATTATTTCATCTCTATAATCTGTGTATAGAGATTATCTTTAGATTTTTCCGAAATCAATTTCTTATCAGCATTTTTCTTTGTGACAGCATTAGATGATCAATAAAGGCTATTTATATTATTTTAAATAATATTCAACACAAATTTAAGATTTTCATACTAATTTATTTTATCTTGTATGTCTGAAGTCTAAAAGCTACACAAAGAAATAAGTATCATAGTAACAAAAAATCTAAAAAGGCATATTATAATTTTTGCAATGCATAATATTATCGTACAATCTCTATTTATAAATTGCTATTATGTACGCGTAGTTTGAATTCTAAATTTATTAGTATAAAATTCTTTTTGATTTGTTGAATATTATCAATAGAAATAAGACATTAACAATTTTTATTTCCTATTATAAGAATTGCCATCATTTTGATATTAAAAGAAGTTAAAAAATATACAAACATGATTGAGAGAGAGAGAGAGAGAAAAAAAAATCTGTGACAAAGATATCATTTATCTCAAATCTAATCTTAAATTGCGTAATAATAAAGAAAGGATGATTTGTCAGGTAATTATTTTACTTATTAATAAGTAATCCTCTCCAATGTGAAGAGCTCCAAATATTTTAAATTTCCAAGATCAACATATACATATAAATGCATATATTATATATATATATATATATATATATTTATCGAAATGTTATTACTTTTATCAATATAGGAAAATTAATATAGAGAAAGCCAATACGACGAGATGTTTGCCAGCACTTCGAAGTATAATATTGCAAAATATTAATACACTTTTGTATTTAATCAACATTTCACTCAAATATTAATTATTTTCGTTATTGTTACTTTGCGCAAGCACGATTGCGCACATTTATTGATACTCATAAATCTTTATTATTTTATGCAGCATATAAATATATATAAACAAGGATTGATATATAATTCAGCTAAATTTGTATTTTAATACGATTCTTTATATTCGCGAATAAATAATATATATTCGTGAAAAACGTGACGACTGACATAAGGTCTCTTTTCGCGTAGACCATCGTTGGAAAATGAACTTATCGAAATTACACTGTTTTTTCAATATATATCCTTGATAGAAAATATATCATTGATACACAATACAATCATAAAACGTACGTACCTATTGTATTTTCGTATTTCGACGAGATCTTGAAATAATCGAAGATGATTTCGATTGCTTTCGCGCCACACGAGAACGCATTTTTGACCGATTAAAGTCGCGATACTGTTTTTATTTACGACTGCACGGGATATGTTAGGTTACGATTCAATATATGTTTAAACTAGACACTAAGCGAGAGATTTTCAAGAATTTTTCATGACAGGACAGATTTTACTTTTACACGATAACATTACGAGGAATATATACGCGAGTCACACTTGTATTTCACACTTTATTTATCACAATTCGAAAGAATTGAAGGCGCGACCTGCGACATTCGAAGTATCAGAAAACAGCGGCAAATGTCAGATGCGCCAACCGTAAAAATGAGCGGCAAACTCAGACAGACCTGCCAACGTGTGAAAAAGAAACTGTTTCCTCTGAGAAACAAATTCTATTGGCTATCGACCATTTTGGACAAAATATTGCGTCCAATCACGAGAGAGATTTCCATGTTACGAGATTATTAATTGTGGTATAACATATATAATAGTTATATAAGCCATGGTTGTTTCAATGCGTTAAGTGCGTGAGTTGCGTTTCTATATCTTTGTCGTTCTCTGTCGCGCTCTCTTCTGCCTTTATATTCAAATCGCTTACGAATTCGCACCAATTGATTCCCTCTCCACATTCCGGCTCTTTTTCGGATGCCCACCAGAGTGATGTCTGCAAACAATAAATGCGGTATACATCATTTCTTTTTTGTTCAGTTCTTCTGTTAGAGAAAAATAATCTCCAAATAATCAATACGAATAAAATATTTCAAAAAATAAGATAGATCACACATACGTATATACATGTACGTTATACATACATACATACATACATATATATACCCAGTAAGCAAAAAATCATTGCTATAATGTTATTTTTGTTGGCAAGTATATAGTTTTTAACATATGTATGCAACATCATTATGAACAAACTTTGACATCGATTTAGAGATTTCGGTAATGTTGAAATTAACGTTTTTAAAATATTTTATTAATATTTTGAGCAATATATGTTATTAAATAATATTTTTAAAACATTTATAAAACATCAGTTAAAATATTTTTTTAGAATATTTATTAATAATATTTTAAACATATATTTATATATATAAAACATTATATCATAACGTTTAAAAAATTTATATAAAATCAACATTATAAAATGTTGATTAAATATTTCTTGCTTACTAGGTATATATCTAGAAAAAAAAATATATATATATATCTAGAAAAAATATATATATATATATTTTTCTAGATTGCTACAAATATGTACCTTTATATTTACAGGTGCAGCAGGTGGTAGAGGATCGATTTTTATATTCATAAATTGAAGCAAGTCGTTGTAGTCGATTTTACCATCTTCGGTTTTATGCAAGCTATTGTAAGAATCGCAATGTGTCACATACATTATTAAATTCAACGTTAAATTGCGTAAAAAACAATTTAACTTACTGATCCAACATGGAATTTAATAACTCTACGTCGACAGGAACTCTGCAACCTCGCAAGATCGTATACAGGGATTCTCGAGGTAAGAATCCAGTTTTATCTCTATCCCAATGATATAAATCTTCTTTTAAGCGATCGAGACCATGCCATAGAAATCGATTTAATTCTGTGTGTAATAATTGTCTGCAAAAAAAAGATATCAATAATTTATTGATTTTAATATTGATTTCATTATTGTACGAGAAATCTTATCTTAATTAAATTTTTTAGAATATATCAAGATATTGTCATATATTTTTTCTGTGTGATTATTATTTTTCTTCTTCTAAAAAGAATTTAATACATACCAAAAAAGATAAAATATGAGGAATTTTTTCATAGTCAAAATGTTGAGAATTTAATTGTAAACATTTAAAGATTAAAAAATAAATAAGTTAAGAAAATTATAAATAATTTTTAAATAATTATAAATAATTTTCTTAAATCTATCTTTTAAATGTTTACAATTCAAAAATTCTCAACATTTTGACAATGAAAAAATTGTTCATATTTTATCTTTTTTGATATTATTGTTTAGAAGAAGAAAAAGAATATGATAATCACACAGAAAAATAATATATGACAATTTTGATACATTCTATAAAATTTAATTAATAAAATTCACACGTACCTTACATATTCTTTGGATTTATGTTCGATTTTCTCGTGAGATGAATAACATCGGGCAATCGTAATTATTTCATGTTCTGTAATTTTATCTCCCATATACCGATGTAATGCTTCTCTATAAATTGAAAAGAAAATGAATAAATCACGAGTGCACATAAAAATATAAAAGTATTTTATTTTTATTACGCACTTAAGCTTTTCATAGTTTAATATTCGAATATCATCTTTCGTATCTTTAGATGGAGTATACGTTTGAATGAATTCATTATAGACTGGTTGTAAACTTTCTCGAAGTTTTTCCATTATCAATTTTTTGTTTGCTTTAGGAAACTGTAATATAAGGAGATAATTATTTATTTTTCAATCAAATATGGGATGGAGTAAAATAAATAGAATTAAATAGAATTTAAAAATTATAAAAATTAAATAATTAGCTTTTTTCTCTTTGAAAATTCAAATTTCTATAATATTTGCAAAAAGAGCTTGAGAAATTTTAATATAAAGATTTACTCTAAATATATTTCAAAAGAACATTTTGAAATATTTAAATCTTTATATATGTTAACATTTTTCAAGCTCTTTGCAAATATTATAGATATTTGAATTTTGTTTGGCTAATTCAGAAATAGATATTATATCGTTAATAAGAAATATTTTTATACTAAATTACTTATCTTTATTATTTGTATGTTAAAATATGAATATGCGTATTCAAACCTTGTTGCAATGTAACTCCATGTAACGAAGGGCATAAATATCCGCAGATGTAATTTCGAAATAAAAATCATACAGATTTAAGCAAGCTCCTATATAAAAATCTTGTGGTTTATAGCATTCCGGTTTTTTACTCGTAAAAATATCTTGATCAGGCAACATTATCTGCATTCGTTTTTGAAACAGGGATCTCTCAAAGCCTAATTTAAATTTAAAAAATTTTTATATTATAAATTTGGTCATATATTAGATTTAAAATATATTGTATTTGAAATCTAATTAGATTTCAAATTAATTTGATTTAAAATTTATTATATTTTAAATCTAACATATTTTATATATTACTTTTCTATATATATTCTAATATTATGCAAGAATGTTTATGCAAGATTATTAATATTATAGTAATATGATATGCATTATATTTAGTTTTCTATTTAATTATAAAGATTAGAAAATTATTTTTTCTTTTCAATGTTATTTTGAAATATATTTAGTGTAAATTTTCTATATTAAAATTTTTCAAGCTTTTCATTAACATTGTAGATACCTGAATTTCGTTTGGCTAATTCAAAAATAGATACTGTATCGTCCATGAGAAATACTCTTATAATGAATTGTCTATCTTCGTTATTTGGAATTTTCGATATCATTTTTGCTCGAAATCTCAAGACGTGACTATTAAAGCCCTGCCTGAAATAAAAATAATGATAATAAATAGAATTAAATAAAAAAAAGAAACATTTTAAAAATATTTTACTTTTTTACTTACTTGTCATGATATAAAAACTTTATGAAATCTGCCTTGGGTGGTTTTGGTATCATCGTAAAACAATTGCCAAGAGAATCTTCGTAAGAGCCAAAACCATTGTAGGGTGGTATGTATTTCTCTATTGTTTGACATAGTTCATCATATTTTCGAGGTTTTATTAAAGGTGTGAAATCATTTAAACCATATTTTTTTCTGAAATTATTAAAAAATGCACAAATTAATTTTTGATGAGAATACGATACGTTTTATTAAAAAATTTCTCTGGTCATTTACCGATAATATTCCTTCGTAAAAGCATCCATGTCTGTGATAACAATTTTTCTACCAAAGACGTTGATCTCTGCTCCGATACTCAATTCATTATCTTTATAATAATCGGCATAAATTTGGCCAGTGTTTAGAGAATCCACCATGTAATAGCCCCGTCTTGTATCTTCTCCTAAGACATTTAAAATCGTAAACCGATCTTCTGCGCCGATCGGTTTTAATCCAGTGTAAAACTAAAATCAATTTAAAAATTAAAATATAAAATTGTGATGTTTCGATAATTATTGGAACATAATATACAATCTATGATTTTATAATAACATATAGTGTAAAACAAAGTGTAAAACAAAAATTTATTAATATAAATTTGATGTTTTTGTGTTAAAATTCGTGATAATTATACTTGTCGTACTTTCGGTATTTTCATTCTTTTGACAAACATAGGACCCGAATCTCTGCCAGCATTTGTCGGTACATTTTCTTTGATTTCCATTGTATTATTGGAGAGATAATAATGCAGTTCGAGATCATGGACGATGCCGTATAAACTCTCAGTATCATCCCAATATCCGTAAAATCGGAGTACTTTTCTGTCGTACTTTAAAAAATTGCCAAGAGTATCCACCATACGACTAGGTTTTTTGGAAACACTTCCTGTAAATAGAAATAATATATAACATAAATATATAAATAAAAATTAGTTACATATAGTCTTAATATAATAACAAAACAAATAAAAATATATTGTGTATAGTGATTTTATATTTAAAATTTAATTTATTTTTCAAGCGTGCGCTAGAAACTTTGTACTTACAACTTTTCGAACTTCAGAATACGGATCCTTTGGTATATCAATAGGATCGGGTACTGGTATTCCCATACGATTAAGAAATTGCCTTGTAAATTTATCACAATCTACAATTTTATACACTCGTCCATGTATCTCAGGTTCCTTGCCCACATTTAAATCAAGTATGTCATAATATCTGTACTTTACTTGATCGGGTATTGGTATTCTTTGACGTCTAACCAGAATCCCTTTGCAAAAAATTATTATAACAATTGTAACTATTTTTTTTAGATTTGTAATTACAAATGTTTATCATTTCTATACTTTGATTTTTTCATCACGATGTCTGTGCGCGTTAGAAATAATAAAATACAAATATATAAATATAAAAATTAAAATTAAGTATACATAAAATGTTGCTGCTAACAGAATTACGATAGAGAAAAATTATAAAAATGAAATGCACCGTTGAACCTTGCTCAAGACCACTATTATCCACAGACGGCTCTACAATTTTCATCGTTCCATCTTCTAGAAAAAAACTGATGTTCACTAAGCGAATGTGAAAGGCCGTTTTCCACTTTTCTTGGACAGTTTCTTGGAAAAACGCTTTAAACATGAGTCTCTAAAAACACAAAATAAAAGTAATAATGTTAATTAAAATCAATTTACAATTTTTAAATTAAAAAATTTGAAAATTTCCATTTATCTATTATATATTTGATTATACTTGGCCATCATATGCGAGCCATGGTGGAATTTCTGGCATCTCTCCTCGGGGATAAATGGATGAATAACGACTGTAAACGCTTGTATCTGCTTTCTCGGATAAATAATATACTCCATCGTGTATCTTGTCGAAATGTTGGCTTTTGTGAAATTTAGTTTTACCAAGCTGCACAAGATATACACATATTTGATATAAGCTCTTTTTTCGTATATTTTAATATTATTTTATATTGCGCGTTTTTTACGTTGAAAAGCTATATATTTATTATATATGCTTTTTTTTACAATTTTGATATTAATAATAATGTGACATTTGGTTAATTACATACGTAATAAATATAAAAGCACTTACGTTCTTGTCGAAACTAAAACCTGGAAGGCAAGGTAATATTCGCGATGTCCGATGCATACTGATAAAAAATTCTATCAATTTACCATTAAATTATCATATTAAATTAATTATAAATGATAGAAAAATATACACGATGTATATAAAAATTTCTTCGTGCGAGAATATCACCGACAGGAAGTACCATATTTACGTTATATCTGAGTTTCTTGTTTCCTTGGTGATTGTTAGATCTATACAGTGTAATGTGTAAGAAGAAAGCGCGAAGAATGGAAAAATAGAAGAGAAACTTTGTTTAAATTAACATAATCACTTTTTATTTAATTCCTAAAAGCATAAAAATAACATTTTTATTTTAATTACAAATTTTATATAGATGCAAATAATTTTAGCAACAAATTTTTACGATAATTAAGAAATATATATATAAACATATATATAGATACACACATACATCTTATATTTATATATGATGTAAAACAGAATTGGAAATTGTTATAAAAATATAATTATAAAGAATATATTGAATGATACTAATATTTATTATTCTTAATTTCTGACACTGTAACTCGTTACCGAATATATTTATACATAGATGCATTTATGTGTTTGTGTGTGTAATATTGCAAAATCTTTCTGCAATATAAATATATATAAAGCATATATTTTAATTTGCTTTTTTAAAAATTATGCCATATTAAAACTATATGAAGTATATTATTAATGTATTAGTTTTAAGCTGTATCTTATAAAATCTGAACCATGTAATTAGTATAATCATCTATTTAATCGCTTATTAAATATCGCAATTAGTAAATACATTCAACTATCTTAGTAACGAAGCAATATTGAAATAATATTGAAACAAAGTAAAGAAAAACAAGAGAACACAATTGTAATGCAATAATTTCAGTGATTAACTTTTCATAATATCATTTGTTAAATCAATTATAATGTATACTAGTGGTATTATTCAGATTATTCTATAATAATATGTTCTATAATATTATATAATGTTGTGTATTTTATACCGAAATATAATCATTAATTTAAGCATAAAGCAGAAAAAAGGAAATGTATTTATTCAATATCAAGGAATGAAGAGAAATATATGGAATGAAGAAATTTTCAATACTCCTTACGCGCATTTTAGTTAATCATCATTACGATTATACAATTGTATTCTCGCAGAATAGTCACTCATACTATTTGAGATTCACAAATATAATACACACTGTCAAATGTGTAGTATATTTAATTAAATCCAATGTCAATTATTTCAAACCAATTTCTAAAAAATATAAAAAAATTATAAAATCTATTGAAATTCAATTTCTTTTTTCGTATTGTTTTACAGTTATTGTTTCACTCATTTTACAGATCAATGTGGAATAGCAAGTTACACGACTAAGCTAGTCCCTCTTTTTATTTGAAGGAACAACACTGTAAATCGGATCGTTTCTATACCATCGGACGGCGTAAGTACAAATATTTAATAAAATTTTTAAAGAGACCTCATATAGCACCGTAATAACTTATTTTAATATATATAAATCGTTAATTTCATAACATAACATGTTTAACAGAATATTATAATATTTGAAACTTCAAATATTATAATATTTGAACTTTCATCGTTTGTAAAAATTGTTCAGTGGGAATTTAAGTGGCTGTTTCGTCAAACAACCACATAAAAGTCCAAAACCCCACTTACTTCTCCCTTTTTTCTAGTCTTTAATTTCCGGTTGTAAATCGTGCCAAGTAGTAATGGCCTTTGAAACGTCAACTTCGTTTAATTTCACGTGAAGTTGTCCCATCACATTGCTTCCAGTCGACAGCCAACCCTTTTGAGTGCACACAGACACTTCTAATATTCGCGTGTTTAAGTCTCCCTGTGAGACCACATATTCGAATTGCTCGTCGAATGTTGGATTACAATTATCCTTTATTACAGCAGTTTTGCGCTTCGTTTCTTTGTGTCGGTCCGGCAAAAGATAAAGTTTCACATATGGATCCGGTATATTATGTGGATCATTTTGAGGGAGCGGCAGATTACTGTAACATGCAATAATACAGCCATAGATATTAATTAAAAAATATAGAAGAATATTAATTAAATTTATTATGTGACGACGTGATATCGATTAACTTACGCAATTTTATGTACAACAACAATAAGTTTCTGTCTCTGCATACTATAACGTAACGTCAATTGTATTCTGCCTAATTTTGCTTCGCCTTGTCTCAAGGATGTCATGCTTAAATTTCTGTGAATAAGCTGAGGACTTGCGGTCAAAGAGGTTGGAGCGCTAGTGCTAATTATTAATTCCTCTTCTACTGCTGCCGGTTCCTCAGATACAAGTGCGGATCCAACATTACGAGATTGATTGTTGACTGATTCTTTTGAACCCTGTCTTTTAAGTGGGCTGGGAGGTACTGTAAGAAAATGTATTAAATATAATCTACATTACATCTGTCATATAAGGATTAAAAAAGTGTTTTATTGAAAAGATTGAGTTCTATTCAATTTAAGAATGTAAAAGAAATTTCGGGGGATTTATTAATGTTATATATGTTATATATTAATATGTGATTCTACTCACCACTAGAAGATAACGCATTACTAATGTTAGACTCCTGACGTTCAATTCGTTTATTTAATTGATTGATGTCGTGATCATCGTCATCTTCTTCGGAAGTAGGTTCAGGCTGTTCGTATTTCAAGATCTGCAAAAGCAAGTTGTTTTACGCATTTGATAATTGTATTATGAAATTCTACATATACATATTTTCTATAACTTACATTTAATGACATTGACATTACAAGTTTACTATCCGCTTCAGCCATTTGCAGATCGTATGGCTGTTGGGTTACTTCTAAATTATTTTTTTTCAAAAGTAAGGAAAGCTTATAATTCATTTCCCCAACTATCATGGCAGTTTTCTCATCTGTGATCTAAAATATGATGATTTTTAAATTGTTATTAATAATGAATCTTACATTTCTTTCACATATTCTTTTAAAAATGCGTAGGACACCTTTATATGTAAAATGCCAGTTTCAGGATTGCTGACTAAAAAGGTATATCCTTGTTCCCATACTGGATCACAAGAACGTGATATAGTAGGAGTTCTTTCTTTCTTTCCACCGATTCCTGCTTCCAAATAGACATCAGGTTGTTTATTTCCTCGAATGCACTATGCATACATGTAATGTGATATTAATCAATTTATTAAAAACAAATAACTTTTCTTACATATCATAGTTTACATACCGGTAAATTTTTAGCAGAATCAATATACAGGGTAAGAAGGGCTGTACTCATCGATGTAACTCTAAGTTCCTGAGTTTCTATTAAAGCCTGCATAAGAATTCAAAGTTGTATATATAAGCATTAATGTAGAAAAATACATTTTTATTTTTGTTACTTACAGCTTTTAAATCAGAAGGATTTTTTGAAAGTTGTAACCATGTTAATCGCAAGTGAACCATACCATGCTTTGCTTGTTCTAAAGAGACCCACTAAAATAGAATCAATTTATTAAAATTATTAAGATAATATGAATGATTACTTTCATGAGATACATTTTATACTCACTGTATCGAGTGTGCCTTTTTTCTTCACTCGATTAATTTCAATAGTAGCTCTGTCAACAATTTGAAATAAACAGATTTTTAAACATCCTTGATTATATATATACAAAAATTTTATTAAATTTTTAAGAATGTTATACAAAATTAGTTCAACAGTTTTAAAGATGAATGTTTTTGGCAATAATGATGTATAGAATCACTGAACTCACACAATGCAATACAATATATATCCATAATACCATTTTTACGAAGCTTTCATGCAGCAATACTGTAATTATTTCTGATGCAGTTTTATAATTCTGGCTTTAAATAATGATATACAAAAGCTTCATTGCACATAGTAAATATATTTATAAAACATGCAACATTTTACAGTATTAACTTATTGCATAAATAAAATAGATGTTTCAATGGACGTATTTAATACATAATGAGAGTAATGTGGTGACACGAGAATAATTCTTAACGAGAATTTATTGAAATTTTCATGTACCAGATTTTCCGTATATATTTTAAATAAACGGCATGCATCACAAGTACATGATTAATGCTTACATTTAAAATATTTCAAATATGCTGCAGTATTTCATAGAAATAATTCATATAACAAGAAAATGCAATCTTTCAAGCGTAATCTATCAGAGTGGCAGAGTATTCGCGCATATACTAATTTAAATTTCTATACAAGTCTTTTATAAAATGCATCATATTCGTCTGATCTAAGATTGGTGTACTTGCTACATTCAGCAATACCTGCCAAGTGGATCATCTTGAGCAGCGTTGTCTTTGTCAAAGAGCTGGGCAACCATCGTGTTGTAGGCTCCCAAGCCCTCTTCCACTATAAACTGTCACATAGTCTATTTTAGTAATTATTCTTATTAAGTCACCTGATTACTCTGATCAATTAACACAATGATCGAATTAATAAACGTAGAATGTTTTTTTGTTACAAAGAACATTAAAAAAAAATAAAATATTTAAGTTAATTATAATTATATTTTTAACAAAAAAGTTAATAAAGTACACATAGATTGTATTAGAATATTTAAAATTGCTACAACTATTCAAAAAGTACAACAAAAAAATTAATTTTGATGATAATTCCAAAAAATTGTAATATATATTTTTCGTTTTAAAATAAAAAAAATAAAATATGCATTCGTGCAGCGCGCGTTTAACAAGCTATAATATTGGTACAGCGTTAGTAAAAATAAATAATTTAAAACAGTGATAAAAAGAGAAAAGATAAAAAAGTCTATTTAATTATTTATAACAGATAACATATTTTATAAAAATATAAAAATGACATATTCGGACAATAACATCAAAATTAACATTTATATGTTTTAGTGCATATCTGTAGTTTCTATAGTTAGTAATGCATTTGCACAAGCATTGCCCCATTCACAAAGCATAATTACTACCTGCCAAGGAAATCATCACATAGTACCCCAGGGACATTTGGATCCCAATCCCAAAGAGATACCACAGCTTCTTGTATATTGTATAAATTGATTATAGCCTGTATGTCAATATTATGACGTATAACAAATATAAAGATGACATTCTTTTAATAATAACCATATAATAATAATATATCTTCAATTAATTATTTTTTCTTTAGTTTATGTACTACATTGTTAATTATAATATATATGCCATAAATTCTCATAAAAAATGAACATAACATATTCTACCTCAATTATAAATATGTCTAAAATATAATATGTATGTACATAATTTAATCTGAATGGGACTATAATATGCTGCTAAATAGATAAATAATGGTTAAAATTGTACATTTCATAATATGATTTAACTTTTTGTTTAAAGCATTAGTAAAAAAAATTAACAAATTGGAAAATATAAAATCAACATGCATTCACAGATATCACGAAAATATTCAAATTAACAATATAAATATTATCACACACCCACATGCAATAGCTTTATGGATGAATAGAATAAATAAATTTAAAATAAATAATTTCAGATTAATTATGTATGTACAATATAATAAATTATATATAAAATTATATAACATATATATATATATATATATATATATATATATAGACTGAAAAGAGTATATTATTTGGAAGTAAGTTTTATTTTATTTGAAATTTTCTTTTTTCTTTTCTTTAATTAAAATTTTTTTTTAAATATTTTTTCTTTAAATTTGTTTTTGTATGATTAATTAATGACAGTCAGAAATATTTAAAATAAATAATGAAAGAAGATACAGAATGTTATGTATAACTATACCTTCCAAGACTTTCATCGCCCTTAGTGTCATCATAGTCCCACAGCAGTACAGTCAGTTGCTGCGCAATGGCTGAAGGTACGGCACACTAATCCCATATAATATACACATCACATACACACATACATACCAAATCATAGAATGACATTATATTAATATAAACTAGAATATATTTTATCTGCAATCCGAAAAAGGTAACATTGAACCATTAAAAGTAAGAGAAAATAGAAAATTATTGTAGAAATCGTTTTGAAATAAATGTCTGCAATTAATTAGAAGTTATATGTGTGTATGTAATAATTATATATGAAAGCAAAAGGGTTGGCTGCTTGAATAATGTATGGAATATTTAGTATATAAAAAATACTTATATATATTTATCAGAAAGTTAACTGTGAAAGTTAAAAGTGTTGTGATAGATCCAATTGTATCATTTGATGGATTAGCACTCTGGATTAACACGAAATAAAATGTGTATAGGGTATTCTTCTAAAAGTTCGCTTTGTAAATTGCGGTATTTTTTCTTACCATATCGAAGACCTTGTATTGTATTTTTTTGAAAGATACATGTTGATAGATTGTGGTGAAGCACATGCATTGAACGTTATATATATTTTGTGCTTAACTAAGTATGAAATATTATACATACCTCACACCAAAAGTCCCACTTTGGATTAACAGTATTGTCAATAGTTTTCGTTCTAAATTCCTGGGCACCAACATTTATTACGGCATATGGATCAGACTTGCCTTTTCCTAACATTCCAATATCTTTCTTCATCAAATGCTTTGCTTCTACAACGTGAATTCTCAGAACGCCCTTAAAATTAAGAAGAAATACATGAAAATATTTTGTAAAAAGTAATAGGTACATAATATTTGTTATAAATATTATTATATATTTTACTTCAGGTTCAGGCATTTTTAAGGATTCTATTGGTACTTCTTCACTTAATGGTATAATTATTTTATTTGGCAATACAACAATAGCAGCTACTTGTTCAACAATCGTCTTCCTTAAAATTTCACTGAAAGAAGTACAGTGTTACTTAAATTTCGTTTAATTAACAGTAATGCTATTTAATTATTTAAATTGAAAAATTTTAAATAACAAATAACTATAATAACTTTGTATATAACTTTGTATATAATCATACTTGAATCCAGGTAAATCTAATACATCAGCCATTCCTACTAAGTTGAAATTGATAGTAGGATTATTCAAATAGAATATCTGTACACCTCCAATTAACGGCATTACAGATAACATAGGTTTCATAACAATTCGTACCAAACCACGTATCTGAAAATATTAAATTTTTATTAAAAATTATAGGAAATATTCTACATAATCGAGTTTTAATATTACTTACTTGAAAATCTTTAATACCGCCTTTAATATTTCCAACCAAAAAGGTAATATCACAGTCACCAGCATACCTACAAAAATACAATATTTTATATTAAAATATATATATATATTTTTTTAATATTAATATATTATGAAAAAGAGCAATAAGATACATACATAATATCTGCATCTAAAATAATCTCATTTCGTGAAGTATTTTTATCGTACACTTTGATTCCATAAATCTTTGGTGGCTGTAAAAAATCACTTATGTAAATTTAAAAAAAAAGATATATACAAACATATATTAAACATATATTAAATTATAAGTATAAATATTAAAAATGAATTGTATAAACGTGTTAAATTAAAACTTACAATACGACCCAACACTAGACGATCAAATTGAAAGCCTTTTATTTTATATTCAGTCAATTTCGCAACAATTGATGGTTCTATATTTTGTTTACATAGTTGACGAACAAATTGATTCATGCTTGGCCACACTTTATATAAAATCTGAAAATCAAAAACATATTGAGAATTTCAATTAATTTTTGTTTTAAAAACAGATGAGATATATCCCATTTATAATATAATATAAATAAACTATAATGCATACTCTGTTTAACCATTCAGCTCTATCAAAATCAGGAAAATACACCCATGACGGTAATTCGTCTATTCGGCCCATAATCAATACTTTTTCCTTAGCCATTGCAGTTGCTTGTGTTGTAAGCATTCTCAGCTCGTTATCTTTTTACATTCTGTTTTCCATACGGAAAATGCGATTGGCACAATCAACCAAGCTATGCTGTAATTAAGATATCCCCATCCCCAGATGATACCGGCTGCTGCCACTTTAGTTAAAAATGATACAGTTAACGAGCCGACATTCATATATGGCCAAGTAATTGGTTTAGAAACTTTATTATCAGAAGTATTATTTCTGAATCTCCTTCCATTATCAGTTATTATTATTATCAATTATTATCAATCGGGTCCCAGTTTTTCTGCAAACAAAAAAATATGCAATCGTTTTTATTATAAAATAACTTGAAATATTTTTATTCGTAGAATTTTATACAAATATCTAATGTACGAGTTATATTTAAATCAATGTTTGCTCTTTAAATAATTATTATAGAATTAAATAATTTTTGAAACATTAAATAAAAATAAATATTATACTTGAGAGAAACTACACAATAATAATTATATACACATTTTATCATTGATTATTAAAAATAATAACACTACGTTTCGCATGCATTTGTTTATTATAATTTATATTCATTAAACAGAAATATAACGTTATCAAGATCGCTGCAAAACTTTGAAAGATTTTACTTTGAAATTGCTCTATTACATAGTTAAGAGAGGAGCTCTATCTGCACATTAAATTATATCAATGCAATTTACGATGACCTTAAGATTTAAGAGAGAACGAAAGAGCAATTTTGATGAAACAGACTGGCTCATAATATATCAACCTTGCCAATCAAGATATGCAAAGTAGCAAATGTGATAAATGTATGTCGTAATCAAAAATATTATATTCTTATTATAACATATAATTAATATTTATACAATATTTTTATTACAACACAAAATCAGAATATTTATACTTTTATATTTACAGATATATATGTTTATCAATATAATTAAAAATAATTAAAAAATAAAATTTATAGTGCTTAGAATTAAACATTTTGTTATTTATTATGTTATAATACATACACATATTTTTTTTTACTTTAAAGAGTTATTATTCTTTTACCATTTTTATATTATTATTACTATCTTTATTATTATATTTATATTTTTAGAAAACGTTTATTGTCATCTTGTAAATATTAACTTTTTAATTCGAATTTTCTGAGACTAAGAACAAATAAACTTTACATAATCTTTTATTATTTTTTTACTTTTATTATATTTTTTATCACATTTTTTTATCATAAATAAGATAACACGTTTTTTAAAAGTTTATTACGAAATAGAATAAAACCAGAGAACGCAATTAATGTAATCATACTATGAAAATTATTCGTTTTCTAGTCTCATAAAATTCGAATTAAAAAGTTGTTGATAATTACAAGATAATAATAAACGTTTCCTAAAAATATGAATCTATAATAATAAGAATAGTAACAATAGTATAAAAATGATAAAAAAATAATTCTTTGAAATAATGCATGTATATAAATAATACGATAAATAACGTAAAATTGATTAACATATGAAAAACGAATTTTTTCGTAACTCGCTCTATAATCTCTGATTCATAGCAATCCAGTTATTATTCGCATTTATCACTGCACAATGATTCACACGACGATAAAATATTAATTACAGCAATTGCAATCGAGTTGATAGAAATGCGATCCGCATTTGTGAAATGGTAACAATTACAAAAATCGATTCTCCAAACATAAGGGAATAGAATTTGTTTCTCTTGTTGTGAAACAGTATTTAGGTAGCTGAAATCTAAACATAGCTCAATCGCTCACGAGATGTATATGCATATTATTACAGATGTTCCATTTTAACATTATATGCGTATTCAAATATTCTGAATTAAATCTGAACGATTCGTATAAACAAAAGTTAGAACGCAGTAAAGTTGAAATTTTTTATTTATTATATTTTATATTTTATTAATGAAAAATTATTAATAATTTATTAATGATTAAAATCCATAAATGTATAAATAAAAAGAAATTTAGTTTGATAACGATAGCATCGAAATATTTAATATAAAAGAAATTTTTAATTATTGCAGATCTATAATAAACAATTTTTTATACAAATTTCTATATAAACATGTGCGAAATTTCAGATTATACATACTTTTCACTGACCATTTTAATACAAGAAAGAATCGTATCAAGTTTACATTCAAATTTTGCTATCATAAATCAATTTAATTGTCTCTTAAATATCATTTGTAAAAAAGTGCAAAGTGTTACAAAAGCGATTGCATATTTTTTAGCAAGGATTTCTTTAAGCAAATTTAGAAAAGAAAGTCTTAAAAATTTTTGTTAAGAAAAGATTTGAATCGTAAAGGAAAAAAACATAATTCTCATATGGGTTGACAAGGTTACCAGTTCTATTATTGGAGTAGATTTGACCTTCCAGAGTAACATCGCGAGATATTAAATTTTATAATTTTCAAGCATTTGTTTTTCATCCACATTTCACAATTGGAAAAACATTTGTTAGAAATATAAATATATGCAGAAATAAAAACGTGAATCTGAATTTAATCGAATGTATCTTATAAGCGAAAAACTAAAAGCATGTGTAATTATATATATATGTACAATTTTATTATATATTATCGTAATTATGTTCTATAATTTGTGTCGCATAGATCATAAGTTGAGTTTACAGATATTTAATTTTTTATCACAAACCTTTTCCTCAGGTAACCAATAATGCGTACTTATATATCCAATGGAAATTTAGATACACGTCATTAATTTATGTATCGCTCCTCGCCCATGTCATAAAATGTTTGTTTCCAAAAATTCAATCGCTCGCAAAGGATGAGTTAATGCATTCGATAGGTTGGACGATAATAAGATAATCAGCGTACGGCATTAGTGTTGTTTGCAGCAATTGAGGCAATAATTCGCATCCTTAGAATCGAGCGAGATATACGTGTGCGTATTCTACCTTTTTTTAGCGATGATGACAAAATCGACAAACACGCGTGCGAACATACAGATTACCGCTTCGATACTGCTCCCTTCTACCTAACCAAGACGCGGACCTAACTACTAAACCGGAATCGCCCGAAATGCGGCGAGACAGCGCGAGTCGCGCGAGTGACGTCATGGTCAGCTGATCGCGCGAAGTTGCCTGCAATTCCTGCAAATAGCTGTGTGTCGCTGTTAGTCCGTGATTGTTATTATTGTAGTACAGTGACTTTCTCGCGGAAGATTTTCCTCGCTATTTTCTCGCTCGGCGAGATTCCGCTTCGGTTTTCCTGGTGAGGAAATCTTCTTCCAGTTTTTCGCGGAGCATCGTCTCATCTTTCTTTGACAGCTCGAGCGACGAGGAAATCTCATCATGGGTCTCGTGTGCTCAACGGCTCAGGTAAGGCTTCGGAGATAGCTATTGTCCGACTTACTCTTTCCAGAAAAATAGACTTTTCCTTTTCTCTCACTGAGAAGAGAACTACGCATTATTTATTCAGCGAGATATTTATGATTTTGCAATAATTACAATTGTATTCCGTTCTTGGAATAATCGTTTATTGTGTTTATTTTATTGTCCTGTGGACAAAGAAGCTGAATATTGCATTCTTTTTTAAAATATGTTGAATTAATGTCGATCTTGTTTTGCTATGAGTCACAGGAAATTTTTATGAATTCATGCGCGCGAATGATCAGATATTATATTTGTTTTTTGATTATATATGTATCTCTGAAATATTGATTGTATTTTATATATATATATATATATATATATTATATATATTATTATATATATATATTAGGATGTATATAGTATGTAAGTGCTATTTTTAAAGATCTTTTGATATGATGAAAATGATGATGATAATAATAAATATTGAAATACTGCGATAAGAATAAGTCATGTCATATGAGAAATTATTACTGCAAATGATTATTTTTGTTTCATCTATTTATAAGTACTATTGATTCGTCTCCTATACTGTTCTCTTTTATTGTATAGCTTGCGTGCTTGTGCGGAAGCACAGCTTGCAGTTTCTGTTGTTCTCAATGTCCCTCGTGCAGGAACAGCACAAGTACTCGCATCATGTACGCATTGCTCTTATTGTTGGGAACTATTGCAGCCTGTATTACTTTGGCTCCTGGACTTCAGAATGTTCTTAAAAAGGTAAAGAAATGTTCTTAACAACTGAAAACATCTTATAATCGTATTATATGTAAACAGGTACCGTTCTGCGCAAATAGTTCCAGTTATGTTCCATCAGAAGTTACTCTCGACTGCGACTCTGCTGTTGGTTATTTAGCAGTCTATAGAATATGTTTTATTCTTTCTCTGTACTTCTTCTTGATGTCTGTAATGATGATCAGAGTGAAAAGTTCACAAGATCCAAGAGCACCGATACAAAATGGGTAATTGAGATAGCATACATGGGTAATTGAGATAGCTGAAAATTGTGACTCTAATATTTATATAAAATTCTCAGATTCTGGGCAATTAAATATCTTTTGATCATTGGAGGAATTATTGGTGCTTTCTTTATCCCAGAAAAATCATTTGGATCTACTTGGATGTATTTTGGGATGTTAGGAGGTTTCCTTTTTATAATTATTCAGTTGATTTTGATTGTTGATTTTGCTCATTCTTGGGCTGATGCGTGGGTAGGAAATTATGAGGAGACTGAATCAAAAGGATGGTAAGGACTACTTTTTATAATTATATAAATGCATAATATTGTGCAACAGACATTCTTGCTATTAAAATATTGTTTTATATATATTTTTAGGTATGCCGCACTATTAGGTGCATCTTTCTTCAATTATGCTGTTTCTATTACTGGAATAGTATTACTTTATGTATATTATACACATGTAAGGTTATTCATATTTATTTTTATTTTAGTACAGATTTATAGATCAGCTTCTACTATATATATATTATTATCTTTCTGGTTTACAGGAAAGTACATGTGCCCTTAACAAATTTTTCATTTCATTTAATTTGATTTTATGTGTCATTACCAGTATTGTATCAGTATTACCTACTGTACAAGAACATCAACCACGATCAGGGCTTCTTCAATCTTCTGTGGTAACATTATATGTGGTATATTTAACATGGAGTGGTATATCAAACAGTCCAGGTAGATATAAATGATTCAAAGTAAGTCAAGAATGTGTGATTTTGTATTTTATTCTTGATTACTATTTAATTTATAGATCATGAATGCAATCCTGGTTTTCTTGGTATATTTGCTGGTAATGATGTACAAAATCGTGTCACGTTTGACAAGGAAAGTATTATTGGACTTATAATCTGGTTTAGTTGCGTTTTATACAGTTCCTTACGTACAGCATCTAAATCATCAAAGATTACAATGTCCGAAAATGTACTGGTTCAGGATAACGGAGCTGGTAAATATCTGCTTGTCTAATATCTGCTTGTGTATGTGATTTTATAATCATATATTTTTAAAAGCATTGCTCCTTCTATCAAATATCTTCACATAAATATTTCTTTTATAATGCACTAACAGTAGTATCTTTTCATCACTTACATATTAATCTGATAAAAATTAAGGTAGTTGTATTAAATATCAACTTTCTATATAGTTAGGAATGCAGGAGAGCAGTCTCTTATTGGTGGTGAAGGTAGGCACACACTACATCTTACAAGTAGAATTTACTTTTTGATCATTTTTGATCTGATTTTATGCATTTCCATTTTTAAAAACATCAACATATGTTTATATATATGTATATATTTGCACACATAAAACTTATTCAATAATTTATATGTTATAATAGAAAATATCTTCTATATTTTTATAATTATGTAGTATTGAATTGATCTGCTTAGTAATTAGTGTGTGTTTATCTTTATTCCCTTACTTATGTTACATTTATTTATTTATTTATTTATTGTGCCAATCTATTTTTATTTGTCATTGTTAAATATTTTTGTACACAAATGATTCTTTTACAAAATTTTGTTATATTATTTTGATATTAATGAAATTAAAGATACAATACAGGTTGCCATATTTTAAGCAACTATGATTTTATTATATATTTGAGAAAATAACATTGATAAATTATGCACATATGCATGCATTTTATTTCAGATTACTAATTAAAAACACACTTAGATGAACAGCTATGCTTGTTTTAAACTTTTTGTTTGCTTTTTCTTTTGTGTTATTTCTCGTTTTCCTAAATGTAACCAGATTATGCTACATTAGAAGGACGCAATCCTGATGCAGAAAGTGGGAATGATGTCAAAGTTTGGGATAACGAAGAAGAAAAAGTGGCATATAACTGGAGTTTCTTCCATCTCATGTTTGCTCTCGCTACTTTGTATGTTATGATGACTCTTACAAACTGGTATAAGTACGTATTTCTGTATTGTTATATTGAACTATTAATTATATATAATACAATCCTGTTTTGAGATGTGCATCAATATTACTATATTACTTTCATAGACCAAACTCCAGTCTCAACACCTTAAATGCCAATGCTGCTTCAATGTGGGTGAAGATTATTTCTTCATGGATGTGTTTGGGTCTTTATGTATGGTCATTGATAGCACCTACCGTTTTCCCGAATAGAGATTTCTCTTCTTAAGCTTCTGAACTTATCATAAGCGAAAATCCAGCAGTCTGTGAAACAGGTATCTATGACTCAATGTTGTATAAAATAGACTTATGGTAAACGATAAATAAATCTTTATATGTTTAAATATAATTTTAAAATCTTATGTTACAGACATTTCTCTGCTTATGATCTAACATTGAAATGCTAATCACGATTATTTACGCCAAATAATGCAATTTGAAATATTGCATATTAAAAGTATATTAATATATTATAAGTAATAGATATTTTATGTGCGAATTTGCTTCCTCAATAATATCTTTGACATATAGATATTATATTGCAGAGAATATATGTGTTATATATGCTGCATGTAATTTTAGCACTAAACTTTTATTAACCAATCTTTTAAGTTATGCAAATTGATTTAACTTTCAGTTTAATAATGTGCTTTATTCTGGGATATTAATTGTTATGTTGTTATTACATGCTTTATATGCTATAAGAGACTCAGTTCTATTAATATATGTGTGTGTGAAATAATACGTATATATGAAAAATTACAGTACATATAAAAATATGATACAAAAGTATATATTTATGTCTAGTATAAAATTTATAATATTATTTGAAAAGTTGTTTCAGCATCTATTCAATTATTCATACTATGCAATATGTTGCATGTATTCAAGAAATATTGCTGTACCACTGATGCATTTATAACTAGTTTATAACTGAAACTGACGCATAATTATGCGTTATTGAGATATATATAAATTGCATATACTATATTCTTATCAAATATGATCCTATTAATATGTGTAATATGGCATAATTAAACATTTTTAATGGTGCTTAGTAAAAATTATAGTATTTAGAATTTATTAGAGTTATAGGAAATAATAATCAAAACTGTAATTTATTATAATACATGTATTAATACATTTCTTATTTTCCTTTTTTTCAATTATATTGTTTTATGCTTTCATTTTCAGCTAAAACACACACAGCCTCAATTTAGAGCTTTCTTGTAATTTCATCTGCCTATTGCAAAACGTACATAACAACGTCTATTAAAGAAGTTAGTTACAACTGATTTCATGAATAAGTACTATTAAGAGTGTAGGATTAGATAATTGTCATATATGTGATATGGCTTTTGCGTTCTATATATATATACAAATATTCCTTAAAACAATTTTTTATTAAAGCATTTACGTAAGTATATGTAATGAATTACAACTTTTTGTTAATATTTAAATGATATTCTGATGATTTTCAAAATACTTCTTTCTTTCGTACGTTTGTTTAAACTTTTAATAAAAGAAACACACACACATATATGCGTGTGTGTATGTATATGTATATTCTTATATTCTTCTATGTAAATATACTTAATAATTATTATATAATAGTTACATTGTAATGACATTATTATAGACTACGGTAAGGCAACTTTATATAAGTTTACTTTAATGTTGTAAATGTACTGGATTTATTTGACAAAATGTATTTGGCAAATTTGCAACAATTATACATCATATATGTATGCGACGTACATTATTAAATTTTATGTTTGGCAAGAATTAAAATATTTTTCAGTGACGCTCGAGACATATATAATGGATTTTATCTCTGTATCTGTATGTATAACATAATGCAAACATTATTCTTTTATTTTTACTGTGATCTTCTGTGTGTAATAACCGAAGATTGTATTTAAGAAATTATTTTGTGAAACTGTATTTCTTAAACAATATATAGAAGTAGAAAATTATATGAAATGTGTATTTAATATTTTTAACAATGATTATATTTTATTGTCCAAAATTTCCTCAGCGCAATATGTTCCTAATCATTTATATGTAACAATTACGAAATATTAACATTTTATGTTTCTTTATTGATATGTTGTGTTGACGATATGAATTATGTAATTTGATTATTATAGTATAAATTATGTAGCTGAATTGTTTGTTTTAAATTATTACTGATTTGTATCTGATTTATAAGAACAAAAATTTCTTGATTATCTGCTATTATTTATTTATTTTTTAAAATATACTTTTTCTATATCTTTACGAGGACCAGAGAAATTAGAACTTGCAATGTCAATCTGTATGAATTATAATTTATATAACATTGTGTTTTGCCTAAATTTAAAATGTATAATATTCTTTGTAAACATATTAAGTTTAGACAGGGTGACAATTGTGCAAAAAATAATGAAAAACTAATATTTACACAGTTATATTTATAAAGCTACAAATGCAAAAATAAAAAAATTTATGTAAATATATTCTAATATAATCATTTAAAGTGCATGTCCAGGTTTTTACGAAAAAAAAGGATTTAAAAAAAAAACAACTTGATTAATTTTTTTACTAATTATTTTTGTGTAGAAAAAAATGTGATTTAATTTTTCATGAGTCTTTTCCGAACAGTATTTTCATGTACATTATACATTAATTACATTAACAGGATTAAAACCTTAGTAAAAAATACTATGTACAAAATTCTAAATTGTTATGATCAAGATAAACATTTAGTTTGAATTCAAATTAAAAGAGATCTATTCTATTTTGGATGATTTTGTCTTATCTTTTTGTAACACTGGTTTTTTTAATAAATAATTTTTTAGATTTTGGAAGGGTGAATCGAATAGCAGTGTGAGAATTATGGACATAGCAAAAATCCATATTATTTCTTTCAGATTTACCTGAAACAGAAGTTAAAGCCACGTCGAGATAATTAATATTGCATATAATCAAATAAAAACTTTATAAATTTATGAGTAAAATTAATAATATATTTGAAAAGATTTTTTTTCCAGATTTTTTTTTTAGATCTCGAAGACTTACCATTATCCTGAAAAATTCATACTGCTCCGCAGTGCGGGTTTGTCCAACATTGAAGAAATATATTGGGAACTGCGTTAAATAGACAGCATAACTAATCCTCGTAGTAATAAGAAATCCTCGCCAAGAGGATAATTTATTTAAGAATCCTGTAATTGTGTGATGCGACGTTACTTTCAAATAATTATTTTTTGTAAATTGCTATTTTTGTAATATTATTAATATGTCTTTTCAGTGTAATTATACCATTTGAACTACCAGTATGCTGTGTTACAGCCATCCAAATAAATAATCCGCACCATCCGATAGGAGCGAAAGCGTTATAAGTAGCTGCGTGAATCGGATCGTACACATAATCAATTGATCCCATTTTAGATGGTCCAATAAAAGCTGCTAAGAACATTATAGTGCACACAATCCAACCTGTATAGAGAGCTGTCTGAAATTTGCATGTCGAAAAAATTAATGTAATCACAAGTGTATTATATATTTCTTGTAATGTCACTCACTGAGCTCAATTTAAAATCCTTAGGCATATTCCGAAGTAAGTAGCCTGCAAAGATGCCTATGATGTAAACGGTTAATCTATGCGATGGTAATGTGTAGGAAAAATCAGCAGTATCGAATAACTGTCTTATTCTGTCAAGAAGAAAAGGAATATGCGAATAATAGAGCAAGTCGGAGTCAATTCTTTTTCAATATTAATATAGTATATGATGATTTACTTACGACGTGCCAAAGTATACATAATTGTTGAGATATCTCGTATATGTGACGTAAAATCTCAATATTGTAGATATCACGGCTATTGCACCGAGTACAATAACGCCGATCTTTGGTTTTTTATATAGGAGCAATACCATGATGGGTGAAATCGCAAATAATTGCGTGTCTATTCCCACATGATGCGTGTGCGTAAGACACTGAAAGCAAGAAAGATTATTAGAGATCTTAATATGTGCAAAAAGATTACAATGTTGGTAAATTTTCCAACATGAGAGAGATGATTTTATCTTTCGCGCAAAACACTTTTGCATACATTTTATATGTAATACCTACCATATTTTCAAATCCAAAATAATTATGAATAAATAAAAAATTTCGCCACCACGTTTTTTTGCAGATGTTCGCGTGATTGGTCACCACCAACGGCCATTGGGGTCCAGATCCGATGTACGGCATGATGTGAGTACAAAATAATATCAGAGCTCCTAAAGTAGGTACTAATCTAAAATCAGACATTGTGCGTATTGAAAAAAATTAGACATTTTTACATTTATTTGATTAATTGTAAGACATAAACTATCAGTACCTCAGCAAGCGCGATAAATATTCGTTCTTGATATTCAATGTTCCGGTTCTATTCAATCTGCCTATGAACGAATACGTTGTTAACAAACCGGACAACATGATGAAGGGATCGGTATAAAGACTGGCCGCTCTTCCTATAACGGTCCACGATTTACCTAAAAACTGTATCAAAATTGTCCCATATTTTCAAATTAAAATAATTTACCAAATTAAAAAAATAAAATAAATTCTATTATGCAGATCGATAATAATCGATCTATACTAATATGTGTGTGTATAACTACAAATAAAATTTATACAAAGTAAATTTAATATTTGTGAAATAATATTTTATATATGGTATATATATTTTAATGATGCAAATTTTTTTATTTTAAATCTTTTATTTCTCTTTTCATATTCAAGTAGATTACAATCTTCTACACGGAGAAAATTTTCTCTTAGAATTTATCGTGAAAATCATGGTACCTAATCGTAGGGCAATAAGAGTTTCTCTGATTAATATTTACCACAATAAAAAATATTAATAATGTACATAGTAAATTTTAATCAAATTAATCGAATATATTTTATATCTTTTTGTAGTAGATGTTAATATTTTTTATTGTGCTATAAATATTAATCACAGAGAAACTCTTAAAAAATTCTTCCAATATCGCATGCATATTGTCTTACTATGATTTTCAGGGTAAATTCTAAAAGAAATTCTCTCTGTGTGCAATTGTATTTTATTCGTGAAATAACATACACATATATTTCTTTTTATATTGTTTTCTACAATACATACTCGTTTTTTTAAAATTGATAATGACGTACATACCTCACTCATGTAAGTGCGGTTCACATAAGGAGTAAAAAATGCCGCCATGCTCTTGTGAGCTATAACTAATAGAACGCTGTTTAAAAATCGGATACCGTGGAGCACAGCTATGTCGCCCTGCGGTCTTTCCAATGAGAAAAGTTTCCGGACATTACGCTTCAGAGAGAATGATAGAAGCAATTCGCTGGTCGATATTTCGCAGTGGTCGTAGTACGCAGCTACGAGAGTCAGGATGATTACGGTAGCAAAGAGAAGACTGTAGAAAGTGATGTGAAAATTATGAAACTTCCGAAAGATTAATTAAGCATCTGCAGTAATTATCCAGTTAGAAAGAAGCGAATTTAGAAAGATTGGCAGAAACTTATTATAAATAATTAAATAAGTTTCTGTGGGGAACTTTAATATTCGCTTTTTTTTTACAGGGTACGTACTAATGCAAATGTTTTTCATAATTAAAACAAATACAATTTTCTTACCTAGTAGCGATGGTCGCTTTTGATAGAACAAGTTCATCCTTTACTTGACACATCTCTTTATCTACATGTAGCGTAATTTTAAGACCAGTTTGAGTCGTGTACTTTGAGATAGCATGTTGAAGAGAGATTTTCACGTCTTCGGCTGTACATGATGCGGGTGTACATACGGCCCAATTTACGGTGCTAAAACGCGGTACTCTGTGACCAGGCTGAATATCAAAATAAATGGTATCAAGTGTTTCATTTTGCTGCATTACAGTACAAAGCTGTCAGATTACAAAGATAAATTAATAACTCTATTCACTTGGAATATCTCCGTTATTTTTACATATACATAAATATTGTAATTGCAAAAATTATACAATATATCAAGATATAATATCCTATAATATGCTTCATCATTATTTTTCTTTGGGTAGAAGAATTTCTGAGATTCTAAGGACATAATTACTTTTTTTTAATGAAACCTCCATAATTCTTTTACATAAATCGATTCCTCGTAATATTGGCGTAAAAAATGGTTAAAGTGGAATAATAAAAAAATGAATGGTTTACGAGATACTTTACGTTTTATTCTGACACATTTTGATAAAAAATTCGAAAAATCTTATAATATATACTCATTTTTTGATAATCTTGTTTTAATAATTTTTTACATAGAATAATAAGATAAATCAATCAATTCAAGAAAAACATATTTTTGTAATTAAAAAAATTGTAATCCGCAATGTGCAACTGCATACTTTTTTTAAAAAAACAATGTTTTTCTAATAACTGATTTATCTTATTATTACTAAGTGTACTAATTGATTTATCTCATTATTTTATGCAAAAAATTATTATAGTAATATTATTGAAAATACAAGATTTTTCATATTTTTTTATCAAAATTGTTCAGAATAAAGCATAAAATAAATTATTCATTTTTTATTATTCTATTCTAACAATTTTTTACGCCAAATATTACGAGAAATCGATTTATGTCAGAATATCATAGGGATTCCATTTAAAAAAGTAATGATTTCAAAATCTCAGAAATACCTCCACTCACAGAAAAATTATTACTAGCATATTATGGTTTTCTTTATGCTGTAATTTTCATAATTATAATATTTTCGTATCTTGAAAAATGACGGAAAGATTGCAGGTGGACAGAGTTATTGGTCCACTCTGTAAACATACATATACACTATCGAAAACATTCAATAAGCGAATCACGATAGAAATCATGTAAATGTCGCAATTGATATGCAGCTAATTTAGACACGAATAATATTTTCTTCGCTGTTTGACAATATTATTTCTGTTCCACTATCTAAACTCATCTCTATTATTTCGTATACACGCGTTTGCCCTCTTTTGTAAACGCTTGTAAAAAAAGAAAAATTACCATTAAGTATTGGTTGAAGAGCTAAATATTTATAATATATTGAAAAATGTAAAATCTAAAGAATATTGTTTAAAGAAATATAAAAAAAACTTGATGTTTATTATCATGATTATACACACATAAACAGTGTGATAAAAGGATATTTTTTAACAGATTCTTCATGATTTCATAACCGACCTTCGTAACGAGAATCTTAATATACTTATCACGTAAGCGCTTTTAAAAGTATTTACGGAAGTTTATTGAAGCGTCTGATTATGAAAGATGTATGAATAAACCAAACAGAAATGCTTCATAAATCACATTTACAAGATTTTTATAAAGAACAGTAATTATATTCAGAAAATAATTGATACGTTAAGCTTTTTTTGTCTCGTTAAGCGACAATAATAATTGTTACGCTTGATTTCGCCTATGGACAAAAGATAAACAATGATAGTCATTAGCATTAAGCCAACATGCAACATTATTACAAGTGATTGTCAGAATAACACAGACGTAATATCCAGTTATAACATATTATTATCATAAATCAGAGATTATCAAAGCAAAAAAATTCTTTCTGCTTATATAATCACGGTATTCTAATGCGATTAGATTTATTGTTTAATTGAAAGCTTTATAAGATTTGATTACGTATCAGACACACTGTAATATCTATCGCTATAATAGTACGAGAGATTATCTTATAATATATTCATCCTCTCTAATTTCTCGCTTCTGGATTTACGTCAAATTATTACGTCAAATTGATTCTTTTTGTTTGCGCATTTTGACGTTTCGTTCCGTTAAAATTCTTTTTCTGTGTCATTCGTCTTTATCGTGACTATTCGTCAAGTGAACGTCTTTTATTCGTCGACATCCGCCCGCCTCGTTGTCTTTCTCCCTTGATTTACATAAATTCTGCGGCACGGATTTATGTGTCTATTACATATTCATTAGAGATTAAACGGACACGATGAGTCGTCGAATCATTAAAATGCCAGGAAGATTATAAAGTTAGAAAGAAATATTTTTCACACAGAAAGCTTGGATTTTTAAAATTTGATTTTAATTTTATTACATATACGAATCTCATTTTTGTCATTCAATCACAGAAAAACAGTATCCTTGAGAGAATGCAAATATGCCTGATTTAAGTATATTTTATCCTTATAATAGCACCAAAATAATAATTTTGGATAAAGGATAATTTATCCTTAAAACAAAGTGCAAAATATTCTTGGTTGAAGCTGAAATTACTTATAAATATTGCAAGGACAAGTGACAAGTGTGCATCGGATATAGCGGTACTTTCAAATAAAATAATTTCTTAGTTCAAATGTGACTAAGTGTTTTTACCATATACGATTTTAAAACAAGAATATATCTTAAGGATAAAATTTACTTTACACAAATTTATTTATTATTAAGGCAAATGAAAATTTGTGATTACAAAGAGCATTCTATGCTTAAATCAATCAAATAGCGTTCAAGAATAAAAATATACTTGAATCAAGGATTCCTTTTTTTCTGTGATATTAATGAAGAAATCGTCCGAGAATAAACGGCACTTTCGTAAAATGTTTTCATACGAATGTATCGTAATATTTATCGGAATGTTAACACAGATTGCTCGGATTATCGCAATCTTATCTTATTAAAAGTGTAGATACTATTTAAATGACTCATGCGACAAGACTATTTTGATATTCTACGTGCTGAAGCGATCGTCTGTTTCGCTCACGAACGTGAGATATCGCGATGCGGTGATTGATTGCAAAATGATTGCAATCGATCAAGCCAATTCACGTGGCGCATTACAAAAATATACATTATACTCACGTCGGTCATGTTACTGCGGAATGCATAGTGCGAATGTAGCAAGCGATGCAAATATTTGAGATCCGGTCGAGACTGATCGACATCCAACTGCAGATACGTCAGACAATATTGTCCTCGAATCCCATCCTTGCCCTCGACACCGACGCACTCGTCGAAATCGCCAAATTGATTAATATTTCCATTCAATAGGCCAGAAGGTACCTTCGCGGTTGCGTCATACACTTAAAAAATCAATAAAAATAGAAAATAGACAAATCGATTGGGAATTAGTTTCATAATTCCTTATAGATGACTAAATTAAGTGACTACGGATTAAGTCTTCTCTTTATAGAAAATACGAATAATTTCACTTTACATGAGCTATTTTTCATCTCTTGCATTTTAAAAATTGCATATAAAATACTTTCATAAAATTTAGATTAATTTCTCGAAGTTAAATATGCACTTTTTGCGTTGAAAGTATTAATAGAAGTATTAATAGAAGTATTAATAGAAACAATTATAGATTAATATCGATGCGCATAGATATATTGTAAGGTGATTATTCATAATGAATATCTCAAAGTAACATTGCTAAATCTCTTACATTGCATGACGGAATAGTTAACTTGATTTTTCATCGACAAACACTTTATATACGGAAAGAATTTTATTTTAGAATTTGCACTGAAAATCATAGTAATCGTGGAACAATGGTGTTAAAAGAATTTTATGAGTTTTTAAAATTAATATTTAGTACAATAAAAAATATGAATATGTACATAGTAAATTTTACTATGTACGTAGTAAAATTAATCGATCATATTTTATATTTTATTGTGGTAGATATTAATATTTTTTATTGTGGTAAAAATATTAGAGAAACTCATAAAATTCTTCCAGTATTATATTGTCTCACGATTACCATGATTTTCACGGTAAATTCTAAAAAAAAATTCTCTTTGTGATATAATTATATGAGTTAATTAAAAACTCATTAAAATATAAAAGACTAATTCTATATAAAATTGAATCTTAGTAAGATTAGCTGGTTTTTTCATATGTTGTAGTTTATGATCTTTTGAACAAAAAATGTAATAGGCTTAAAGCTAAATAATAGATACTGGTAAAGCTAGAGAATAATATATACTACTAAAGCTAAAGAATAGGTTGCTGATTTATAGCCAGTCAAAATATCAAAAACTCGAATTCTGTGAGTTGTTTGACAGGTTGTAACTCAGCAACTGTCTATTATTTAACTTTGAGGCTATTACACATCTTTTGATCAGAATGCCTTAAAGTACATCACAAAAATTCAGCCAATCGATGGAAAATTATTTTCCATTGTTAAGTTTTCGATCATTTTTAATCATTTCAAGTTTGATCACATAAAGTTCGGTCACATCATATATTTTGAGAAAGAATTGCTTAAATACGCAACGCCTCTATAATTATTGCTCTTCCATAATTTAATTTAAACATTAATTTTATGGCTGATATGCGAGTTATATTTCTGGGAGAATACATAGATAAAATATTTACTCGGTAAGATTGACTTACTTTTGAGAGCCCATAGTGTGAATTTTGCGAATTCCTCGTGAAAAATATCGGAATGTCGTTTGCATTCCTCGCTGACGCCACCTGCACCAGGATCGTAAGCAGGAAGGATTTGCAATAATCTACGTGCCTCGATATCGATTTCTTCGGGGAAATTCTCTGTAAAAAGACAAGAAAAGAATCTTTTTAATATTTACAATATCAAAAATCTCTTGAATATATGCGCATATTAAGAGTTATTTCTCTGTTAAAACATGTTCACACTTATTCAAGGAAAACTCGTGAAAGGAAGGCCTCTTGTTCTCTTCTCGAATTAATATATCGCGTCGGGGATTCACGTAAATCGCATGAAACCGGCTACGTGCCTCGGGTTCAAACGTGAGTGAGAAATTTTATCGACGTAAAACCCTGCGCGCCTGTGACATTGACATGATAATGCGAGAGAGCCATTAAGATACCTCCCGACGTGTCCGTCGTTCGCAAACGACGTTGTAATTTGCGATTGAACGGAAGCAAAATTTTCGGGTAAGGTAGACATACAAGGTGTCCAGTAACTAATGGACCAACGATTACAAATGGATTCTTTGTTCAATTTGGGAACGATTTTTCTCAGCGAAAATGTCGAAAGAGGTCATCATTTTTTACAACTTTCCAATATTTGTCATTATGTATCTTTATAACTAAGCCTCAAATTAAAATTTTATTATAGTAAACTCTACCTGAAATTAACTGAAGAATGTAATTATGTCAGACTTTTAATTCCAAAACGTTTAGTTTTCAAAAAACCCATTTTTGTCAATCGCTTATAACTCGAAAATTATTGACTTCTCAACATTTTTGCTAAGGAAAAATCGTCTCCAAATTGGCCAGAGAATCCGCCCTTAATCATTGGTCCGTTAGTTACCGGACACCCTGTATATACATCGCTCAATATATTATAATTTCAGTCGATGTAGAAAAAAAAATATAACTCGAACTTTCATTATTTATTCGTGACTTAATTTCTAATTCAAGATTCTCTTAGTCTTTTTTATTTTTTTTTTCTGTTTTAGAAATATACATAAAGCAAAAAAGTTTTATTTAACCGAAGATTTGTACGATAAATTGAAAATCCGTTTTCTAGACAAAATGATGAGTTAACTCCTTAAAATTTGAATAGTGAGGATATATAAAGGTCGTTGATCTGCATCGAATGACTTCACTCGTTATAAAATTAGAGAACTTTAACGGATTTTACTTTCGAGAGAATCTAGAATGTCATTGAACCGGTATTATGTATAATTAGCTAGCTCGAAGCTAAGAATTCGTAAAAATTTATATCATAAGAAGAATCATTAAATCGTTTTGACAATAAAAATCGGACTTTTAATATATCATAAAGATACTATTCATTTATGTTACATTTGCAAACAATAAAATGTTTTTTAATAGGAAATCATTTAATCATCTTTTTATGTGCAAATAATTAGAATCATTCTTGTTCTAATATTATTTTCTTACGTTTCTCTAAAAGTAGATTTTTTAATAAATGAAACAATTTTAAAGGGCATTTGCGAATGAAGTAACTCTGACACTATTTTTTTTAATTATCTTGTATCTATAGTTTGTATAAATATACTATAAATAAAAATATTAAAAAATTGATTTTTTAGAGATGGTACTTATAAACTTTTTCAATAAGGTATTACAAATACGCATTACTGTATTGGTCAGATCGAATTGATTTCAAAAGAGTAGACATGAGCGACAATGGTTTACTGTAGAAAGTGGCACCATCGTCTTGCATAGTTATTGTAGTTATTGCATCATGAATGCATAAATTCTGCATCGAATGAATTGTAAATGGTATGATTTATGTCTTTCTAATTTTCTAATTATATATATATTTCTGATATTATACTTTTTTCATATTTATCGATTATCAATGAAATAATATCACATTTGATAAAGAATCGTAAGCTCGCGATAGTCTTTGAGCTTTATCGTCAGACTTTCGTAGCGGATGATCGACCTAATTCCCATTGTTATAAACGTGATACATTTTCTCGTGATAATATGTGGCAATTAAACTCAAAATAAAACCGGACATCTAGAGAGAACGAGCACGACGCGATGTCGAAACCACGACGACGGTCTCCCAACGAATAGAATCACTTAGCATCGTGGTTTGTTTGCTTAATTAACTATGTAACCGCATAAAATACAATGCGCATAAGTACGGAGGGCACAAATAATGCGCATATGCACCATCGTTACTTTATCACTTATTTAATGTTCCTTATTTAATGTTTTGTATATACATTATGTTTATAAATTCTTTTACTTACATGTATGTACAACAAATTTGTGAGTTGAAAATTTGAACAGAGCAATTAATCACGACATAAATGACAACTTATATTGCGTAAGCGTTGCACAGTAAGTATTTATTTGTTTTACTGTTAAATCGCTGACTTTATCGAGGAAAATAGGTGATAAAGTAATCTCGTATTTTTGTGCGATGACATAAAGCGTGTCATAATGAGAATATTTTTACATACAAGTTCTATATATATATATATATATATAAACAAAAAATATGTTTCGAAATACACGATAATAATCGATAACGTTAACTTATCGTGTAAATGTGGTGATGTTACATACATCTTTTACCGCGGTTTACGATGTCTTGTTGTATAAGCAATTAACGCGTAGACAAGAAAGATCGGATACATATCTATGTATCTTCATTAGCTTGTTATTAAACGTGTTCTATGCCAGTAGCTAACTGGTGTAATTTAAAAATTTATTCATATATACTTAGGAGAAAACATCCTTTTTTAATAATTTATTAATTCTATTTAGATCCTTTTTTTAATTATGCAACATGTATATAATTTTCCACAAAAAATATGCTTGAAATCATTCTTAAAAATAAATCTCAGAATGTATTTCATTAGATGGAAATTATATTTAGTATTAATATATGTTATATAATTTTTGATAATTCAACAAATCAGCGTGCAACAAACGATAAAAATTTATATAAAGAATTATTATCTACTTTATATTTAGATAAAAAATTAAAACATTACATATATATATACCTGATATCGCAAATGAAATGTTTATCAAAGTGACGCCATGTTACGAAATATTGGACAAACACATATACATTGAATGAGAGTTTTTTCTTCTCTTAATTGTATTATGTACCATATACATTCCATATAAAAATCGCACAAAGATATCCTTGTTTATTAGTTACATACACTTTCACGTATAAATAGTACACGTACTCCTGGGGTAATTGACATCTTTAATCGAAGGTCACGTATCAACTTACATGCTTGTCGAAACTTACGAGTGAAATTATACGGATCAGTTATATATTCTACTCAAAATCTTGGCCTTTTGCGAGATATTTCATGCTCGAATATTTCTTTAATTATTTATATTGTTATTTAATTATATCTTAATTCCATTTAATTTATGTTTTGTTTTAATTATATTATATTTATATACTCGGAAGTTTTGATAAATTTTAATTATACAGATATGTTATCTTTAATCTTTAACAGAGACAGTTTGGTTCCCGCAAAGACAAAGTGTAGTTAATATAAAAATGTCACTTTTAATTATAAATATAACTTAGAAGATTAGAGATTTCAGGAATTATAGATATGTAAGAGCAGATTTACATTTTTAACTTCTTCTTTCTTCGAAATATTACGGCACATGGTCGTTAGAGACATAATTATGTGCTGTGAATAAATTTAATTTAATTAAATTTTAATCAAATCTTAATTTAACAATTTGATTAATCTTTCCTAAAATTTTTACATATATTTTTGATTGATTAAATCGATTTAAGAACTTTATCGAGTCTCTTGACTACAATTTTCTACTAAATTATTCCATAGAAATGAATTAAAATTGAGTGCTATATTAAAATCAACATATATACTAATTGTTAAATAAGTCGTAATAATTATTAAATAAGTAATCGCTGACAACAGAAGGCAAAGACAGAAAAAGTAACAAAAATTTGATGAGAATAATATTTATATGAGACCTTAAAAAACTGTTTTCACAGACATATCTCTGCTACTGAATGTTGTTGATACTTAATTTAACCTTTTCACAAAATGTCATTTGTCTAATTTTTTTTAGCACCTCTCATATACAAGTATCGTTATAGCTATTCTAATAATAATGACCCTGAATCATCAGACTACCGCATTCACGACCTTCTTTCGGTCCATGAGTAATAATGCTGCGTCGTGTACCACGTGCGTTGCGTAATTCACATGCGGTAATATTTACTTTCCTTACGGTACCTGTTCATAAAGAGCCGCGAACAAAGTCGTGGCAGTCCGAGGCGAAATTTGTTGCAATGTGCATCGATTAACAACGTATGATGTGGCAATAAACGAGGTTGCAACGTGCGTTGCAAGCAATGGATTACAAAGCTCAATTGCGCTGTTACTAATTCTGATTAATTCACGCCTCCTTATTTTAATTATAATAATAAGTAAATTTATAATTCAAGGAAAAACACGATAAATTTTATTAAACGGGAGATTAGTTTATTATACCATTATTATTTCATAGTGAATGTTATTAAATGCACAAATTAATAATGTTAATATATAGTAATAATATTATTTTTAATCAAAAGAGTTTATTTTTTATCTCTACAGAAAACGCACTAAAAAGAAACAAAATATATCTAAACTAAAATTAAAATATATATTAGTAAGAGAAAAAAAATATATAAAAAATAATATAATTATAAAAATGTGATTAACATGATAATATACATGATATATGACATAAAACACGAAAGTTGAATATTTTATAGTTAATCAATGAAATCTACTTATTCTTTTCTGAAATTATTATCATATAAATGTTACTTTACATTCGTGATGTCATTATCAGAAATATCGATAATGTTTTCATAATTCCGTAATTTAATTAAGTATGTTGAGACACCTGATTGTTTTCTTTAGCCTTTAGCCATGAAAAACCTGAATTAAAAAGTGAATTAAAAAATATAAATTGAAGTATTATATTGAATTGAGGCTAAGGTCAGTTTCAATTTTTTTCTGAAATCCCCTCAATTATTGTTGAAGAGCAAAGTGCTATTCAAGGTAAATTACATTCTGTCTTTG